AATCTGAAGTGAATGCAATTGCCAATAATACTTGCGAGGCATACAACCCAAAAATAATAATAATAAATAAATAATACAAATTTTACTAAGGATAAGACCTTTCTAGAAGCAACCTGGGAAAATGTTTCAAGTGCATAGATTCGGGTCTTTTAGCTACTCCCTTAGGTTACAAATTCTAAGGGAACCATAGAAAGCTTGAGCTAAATGAACCATTAAATATTGTAGTCTAAATCCCTCAATTGGGTTTATTCAATCTTCAGTCCTCACAAGAAAAAAGAAATCCCAGATAATACCAGAAGCATGCTATCAAAGGTCAAGCAATAAAAATACTACTCACTCGTTCTAGAGGTAGAAAAAAGGCAGATGCACTGGATGACTTGCTACCAGCATTCAAGGCCACTGCCCTGCCTTGCCAATCAATCACTGGGGATCCACTTGAACCACCTTTAGTCCCGGATGCTGCCTGAAAGTTAAGCATAAGCGTAAAACAATACAATCAAGCACAGACAAGCATGCATGTAAAAGTCAGACAATGGCAGAACCAAGAAAGGTGCTTCCTTCTTCAACAAAAACAATATCCAACAAAACTATCAACAATAATAACATCATTGAACATCTTAACATGCTACACTATTGAAAATATTACAATAAATACTCGTCGAAATGCAGTAGATCCATCATAATGTTGTTCAGGTTATAAGCATTTAATACTGTCTACAACTCTTTCTTATTCTGAACCTTGTAAAAAATCTTGCCCGCATGATTGCATTATATAACTCTCTTCATAGGAAAAAAAAAAAAAAAAACATATAACTTTACAATGACTTATAATAAACTTCTATCAGAGATGTATGCAATTACATGGTCTCCCTTTTCAAACTTGAATGTTTATCTTTTCATTTTGGGAAGTTTGGAAATTGTCCTTTTCACCTTTTTTGGTACAGATCGTCCTTTTTCCTTTTTTGAATAAATAAACTCTTGCATTTTTATATTACATATTACATTTTTTTCCTTTTGGCATTAAAAACCATTAAACATCAATATTAAAAAGAATTGAAATTTTTATATAAGGAATCTTAAAGGCAAACCTTTTTCTTAAACTATTAGCAAGTCAAACATGGGTATCAAACATGGGAATTAACGAGTATATATTTTACAAAACATACGTTAAGCGAGATATATTTTATACACTCCAAGATAAAACCATGTTTTTGCTTATATTCAAAGAACATTTGAAGGAATAAATTAAAAAATCCAGAAAAGGTTAAATGCCCCCCCCCCGGGAGAAAATCCTCCAGATACATACTTGCATGTAGAAAGTGTTGAAGTCGTTATAGCCATCCCTGCAACAAATAAGCATGTTAACAGCCATGACACACATAAAACTAAAAAAGAACCAATAAAAAACAATAAGCTCTAGAAATCATAAGCTAAACAGCATAGATCAAATTACTAACTAGAGGTCATAACTAAAACCTAAGAGACTGAACACAACATCAAGCATTCCTCACAATATAATACTGTCAAAGGAAAATGTGATCTCAAATTAATTTAAAGTCATACCTACTAGAAAAATGTGTGACACAGGATGACGTCCTACAATGAAAAGTGGTATGTGTGGTGTGCATGTATGGCACGCACCACCAGGAGTAAAGCATGAGAATGATGACTGCAGAAGTCAAAGTAGAGGGAGAACTATGCCTTCAATTGGTAGAAGATACCACATGAAGATATGAACCAAACCATGCTTAAAATCAATCTCAGTCAGATTCAGTGACAACCGTATTTGAAACATTGCATAATAAGATGATAATACAAACAGCAAATCAAAAGAAATATCCAATGACAGCTGAGTTGCAATGATAAATTTTGGAACCACAAATCTTTGAAATGCTGATGAAAATATGTCAAACTATTATTGTAATCAAGATCATGAAGCACAACAAGAAAATCAACCATGATACAAGAAAACCAGTTTAATAGGACAAAAGCATGAGGTCATCAAGGGGCTTTACTAATGTTTGTCAAAACAAAGTTGAAGGTACACCCACTGGTATGTAGATGATTCAAAGGAAAAACATTGATAAAAGTACTACATACTTTTTATAATGAGGAGCATCTCTATCCAAACGAGCAAGAGTACCAGCCAATATGGAAACCTACAAATTTTGATTCAAATCAGCAAAATAACAGTTAGGTATCAGGTTTTCATGTTCTATAGTAGCATTGCATGGTGAGGCAACACGCATGAACAATAACTGATATCCAATCAGAAAAACCATGAATTTCTCAAAAGCCAACTTAATGAACTCCTTTATTTAAGTAGAATTTTTTTTTAACAATCTTTAATTAAATGGAATTAAAATAAAACAAAACATTGTTACGTAATATTAAAAAAAATAAATGTAAAAAATTAACGGAAGTAAAGAAAAGATTACTATGGGAATCAATTACCTTCTCTCCGCTATCATTACCAACAACCCTGATTTCTAAGCCAACGCATGCAGCCTCTGGGGCAAGTGGAATCTCCTCATAGTTTAAAAATTGAATGGCATCAGGATTGTAACGAAAGAAGCCAAAATCATGAACCTAGTGAAGAATAACATAATGTTAGTCAGTTAGCAGAACCCACTATATAACAGATGCTTCACAACAGCAAGAAGGAAAGTCGACTTGAATGCAAGGCATATGATGCGCCAGATGATATAAATACAACCCAAGTCGGGAAATTTCAAGCAGAATAGGCTCACAAATTAACACTTCCTTGGACAACAACCAAAATCATACACATTGGCAATAGTACATTTCAAAAGTCATGTCCAAAAATTCTAGTGCAGAACAATGAACTAAATTACAACTCAGAATCAGAAAAATCACCAACCAAAAAAAATAACAAACAAAGCAGAGTTCACTCACCGGATCTCTATATATAGGATGCACAGCAATTTCTTCCCGATTTACAAACATTGCTTCAGCAACAACAGGTCCTAAAAACAGACAAGACAGAAAGTCATTCTTCTCAATTTACAAACATTGTTTCCGACTTTCTAGAGACACAAAAAACACTCCATTTAGCAATCGCTTTTCCTCGTATTTGCTTTCTTCTTCTTCAAAAGTTGCTCAAAAGTAAAAATAAAAAATAAAATAAAATAAACAACAATTGTAATAAAAATCATATATTCACTTAAAAATGAGCATATAGCTAAAATGCAAGAAATATCCAATCATAATTGATCATGCAACAGTAAAATCATCCATTTTATTACTCAAAACAGTTAAATTTTTAATTTTTTGTCAATTTATTCATAGGTAACGAACTTTTTTCTTTTTCATTTGCAAAGAGTAAGTAGCAAAAGCATGAGCAAAACCAACCAGAAAAATTACAAAAAAATAATAATTCTTCATGAAAGTCAACCTGGTTTGACCACATGTCGATTTGTGAGAATAATTCCTCTTCGCTTATCAACGACAAAACCAGTAGCATAACTAGCACCGGCAGGCTCCGTATCAAAAGCACGGGAAGCGGTGGTACGGAGGACAACGACGGCCGGAACAACTTTATTGAGAGCCTTCCGCCAATCCTCAGCAGTAGCGACGTTATCTTTGAATGGAGGATCGATCTCCATAGAAAGGTCTTCTTTGATCGTCGATTCTAATCCCATGGCGGCCTCCGATCCTAACCTCTCCAATGGATCTCCCATTCAAAGTTAGGGTTTCGAAAATCAGAGAAAAATAAAAAGTATCTTTTTTTTTTGGGGGTTTCCTTGTTTGGTTTTAGGAGTCCTTGTGAGTACAAATTATTGGCAGCTGCTTTTAATCTTGGCCTGTTTTTTTCGTCTTTACTGGGTTGCTTGCTTGAAGGAGTACGACTTGGGGTTTTTTTTTCTATAAGGGTGCACGTGAGTAGGATTTTGGTTTCAATTACTACGTTGGACTTTGGACCTTTCTTTTCGGCTTTCTATATTGTTTGGTACACTTCCATTTTGCAGCTCCCTTCTGTTCTACTTTGAATTAAATTCGTTAAGAATTCGTATATTAATAGTTTATGTTTTTCTATTTTATATTTTATATAAAAATTATATATTATAATTCATATTTATATAAAAATATAAAATATATTCTTTTGTTAAATTAATTTTTTATTTTTATTAAAATTTTAAATCATATTATTTTTATATTTTTTATTTATATTAATTTTATGTCATATTATTATATTATTTTTAAATTATTATATTTATTTTAAATAAAAAAAATCCATCCTAAGGTCTTGTTTGGCACATCGATGGAGGCGGTGCTAAGAGGCATCTCAACACCGAAATCAGGACTTTCATTTTTGGGGAAGGAAAGGAACTTCCTATTGCATTATATTGCCTTGCCTTGCTAAACGGAGTCTAAGTAGAATCAATATACCAGTTGGGGTTCCGGGCTTCCTCCCAAGCCGAAAAGGGCTTAAGTAGGCTAAATGTCCCAATTAAGTTATAATATTTTCAAAAAAAATTTTTGTTGAGAGCCTATTATTTTGGTTTGATTAATTTAGAATCTTTGATTTTTCAACTTAGTTTGATGATAAAATTAAAAGAATGGTTCTAATTTGGTTAAATCATAATGTATAATCTTTCATTTACATAAACATAGGTAGCATTTACTTTTCTTTTAAAATTGATTAATCATTAAAAAAACAACAAATGCGAATTGTCAGAGTTTATTAGAATTTAGATTGCATAAAAAAAATACAAATTACCTAATTTCTCTCATCATAAAAGTAATAGATTTCCATATTTTGTTTTAAATTAGAAATTCAAGCCATGCATCAAAATGTTCCCAACAATATGTACAAAAATTCACGAAACAAAATAAGTAATTTAGCAGATAGGATGGGATTATTGGTTTGAGCAGGTGATGAGGAAAGATGAGTTGCTTCTGGCCAAGTCACAAGGAGATTTGCCAGTAAATCTGAGTAGGTTGTGGGTGAATGCTCCTGCTATAGTTCCAATAGGTGGTCATATTATATATAACCAAAGTCCTTTGTAAACATGCTTAACAATTGCTGGTCCCATACTCCTTGCAGGGTTCATCGACGCTCCAGAAATTGGTCTGCATCGCATTTTTGTAATTTGCTTTAATTAACTACTCCTTAGTCACAATATTAATGAATAAGAAGTGAAAGGTTACCCAGCAACAAAGACATTCAACATAATGGTCATTCCAATAGCTACTCCTCCTAGTTGTCCCACCTTTTAACACAGGCAAAAACAAAATAAGTCATGATTCTATATATCATCACAGGAAACTGAAGGATATATCAACTACTTCATAGACAAGTTTATGGTTAAAAAAATTTTCAAAGATTAAAATTTGAAATTCGGAGATATCAAATTTTGAATACTGAAATGATTGAAACGAGCTTTATACATACAAAAAAGAAAGAATATGCATTAACGAAAACAGAATATGAAAATATATCAAATTGGATTTGAATCACAAACCGCTTGATTATCAGTGGAGACACCAGAAATTATGAACATCAAGAGGAAGGAGATTATGATTTCTACAGCAAACGATTGGGCATTAGACCCAGCTGGTACAGTTCCAAAATAAGCAGAAGGAGTTACATCCAGAATCAAGGATAATGTGGCACTGGCAAGAACAGATCCCATTAGCTGAGCTGCAACGTACAGTGGAACCTATAACTCGTGCAATGAGATAACAAATTATTCACCATTCAACCAAACTATTACATGTCTTACCATAAAACTTTACTGCAAGCTTTAATTTTTGACAACATTTGTAGAAACAATTATTGCAGCTCTAATCTTAAAAGCAGAAACATTTATTGTAGAGTGACTTGACTACTGAAGATTCACGCAAGTGAAGTTTGTTTCTCTATTAGAATCAGATTAAAAAAAAAAAAAGTAGTTGGAAAATATTAATTCACCTCCTTAAATGGAAATCTACGAAAAATTGCCAAGGTGATGGTAACGGCAGGATTGAAATGAGCCCCAGAAATATGGCCAACTGAATAGATCATGACCATGACAATTAGCCCCCAAGTTACACAAATGCCTGGAAAAGTGACTGATCCATAGATTTTATTCACAGCCACAGCACCGCAACCGGCAAATATTATGAAGTAGGTACCAATAATCTCAGCAATCAACTGACAAAAACAAACCAAAATTTAAAAAAAAAAAAAAAAAAAGAAGGAAGAATAAGAAGAATATCATAACAATTCAATAATTTTTATGAAAAAAAAGTTCCAGGATTTGCTGATTATACTGACCTTTTGCATTGTAGTTACCATTGCAATTGAAGAACAAAGATCGGATTGATCAATTTCAGATTCATTTGGATTAGTTGCACCTTGTTCCATTTTTGAAATTTCTTCTTCTTCAATAATATTGTCGGTCTTTGTAGCCATAGTTAAGCAATGAAAGTGAAAAATAGCAAGGAGTATTTCTTTTAGAGATAATTAGGGTTTGAAGGAGTCTTAAGATGGTTTTTAAGGATAATTACGTCAAAGTGGATTCGTTTTGGATATAATTTGAGTTAGAGATATTGAGTTGTAATCAAATTAGTTTTCATCGGAGATTTGGAAATTGTAGCAAGTTGGAACGCCTTGAATGACTGATTAAGTTTGTTTTTTTTTTTTTTTTTGGCCACATGTGCAAATTAATTAAGCTCCTGCAAGGTGGAATATATTATTTGTCGTCTACAAGCGATTAGTTCAAAAAAGATAATAAGTCGAGGTATTTGAATTTTGGAGTAGACTTAATAATTTGATTCAAGCTCCAATGGGAAACAATTTAAGATTGTACTAATCGACTAACATTAATAATTATGTAAGCACAGAAGTCACTCTATTTATGAAAAAATTAGTCCTTTACATTAAATAATAAGAAAGACTGCAGGAGCACTCACTTTAGGCTACACAAGTAGGCAGAACCTAATAATAAGTGAGTTGTAGGTTGGTTCATGAATGCCCAAATGTACTACTTTGTTTCAAAGACGAGTCTGAAATTTGGGTAACTTGATTACAAGGAAGAGAGCCAGCCAATAGCAAACTTATGGAAGGGAGGCGACCAGCGAGCAAGGTAATAATACGAAGTACACAGTCAATGGGTGCTTCATTAGGAAGGTCCATGGCCTTGCTTTTAGTTACACAAATGAAGTAATCCTCTCCTCTCTTTCTATCCAGGAAGTTCCCCAATTTGATCTAAGTATATGCGGTGGTGATAATTTAATCCTTGTTTTGAATCCATTGATTGAAGCATTATCGGTTTTGTTGGTGAGTTTTGTCATTGAAACTGTAGTTAAAAAAAATGTAAAAGATAAGTTGTAAAAAAGCAGGAAAATTACATCCACTTAGAATTGGGAAATTCCCACCATTTAACCTGTCCTCCATTAAGAAATGAGACAACAGCAGTTTCATACAAAAATTCGGCAAGTAATGAATTGTAATTGACACTCACAAAGGAAATATCAATTCAACAAACACGATTGATGCTGACTTGATGGCTGATGCCCATCTTTCTTCATTTAAAATCCGCCCCATCTCCCTCTAATGAGAATTTCAGTTTCATGGTAAGCTTGCTACGCTAGCTGACCTATACGAAAGCTATATTTTGTGTCCCGAACCTGTTAGGAAAAACGATGTTAAAGACAGAAATAATCGTCCCCAACGCTGAAAACTAAATCCTAAAGCAAGAGAGCTGAGATTTATGGTTGGAGAGAAAGCTACCTCTATTTGCAAAATCCAATATCATTTGTATCGGATTAAAAAATATATATTCAAATGGTCCAATGCCACAAAAGTGAAAATTCTATCTAACTCTAGTGCCATGTCTACCTAATTTACACATCAGTTAAGCCATCCATGTTTTGCATGCCAAGCTGAAATTTTCTGTCACCATTCAGGTATGTTGAAGTAGTTTGGTGACAATGATATCAAAGCCAGATTTTGAACTCTTTTTCTTGTCTTCTGAAAAGGTTTACTTCAATCAAATCGTAAAACCATGAGAGATAAGGCGACAGGGAAACTTCTGTAAAACATTTCACACAATAGTTTCTTATATGTATGCTTTCAACATCATATAATTTCCAGTTTATTAACACTTTTACCAGTCACCCCGATACCACCACAAGCGGCCTGGACTGGCATTTTCACTATATGTTATTTCATCATTTCTACAAGGAAAATTTTATGTAACAAACACCACAATAAAGGGGTGGCGAGGAAGCAGAAACCAGAAGCAATCATTTGGATGAAACTTCAGTACAACTATTACTAACGGGCAAATCAGTTGGGGTGCAAACCATAGCCCTTTTCTGTAAATGTCTCAAGCTCTGTTCCATACTAACTTGGACCATCTCAGCCAACATCTTCTTTGCTTTACTAGATTGATCATCTTCATCGATCTGAGAGATTATGTTGCAAACAATGTTCTCCAGTGTGTCAGGTTGAAGCTCAGATCGAGGATATGGAGTATCCCTCAGTAACCGCAAAAGGGATTGAGCTTTTGTCTGAGACTTGGGTGTTCCTAGCACTGTTAGCTCGAGTAGTCCAGGGATTACACCTTCTCTAAGAATTGGTTCCCTATATTTACACCGGTCACTCTCACACATTGTCAGTAGAGCCCCAACAGCATGCTCCCTAGCTTGGAGAGTGCCATTTTCAAGCACTTCCACCACTGCTAATACTCCACCTTCTTCACCTGTCAAAGCTATTCTTCCTTCATCAAAACCCACCAAGGATTCTATCAGAGAACAGCATTTTTCAGCTGTTTTCGAATACTTTTTACAGGTTTTCAGTAAATTAACTATAGGAGGTATGGGACTGGTTCCAAAAATGATGGCAAGATTGTCAGGATGTGTTGAGAGATTGGAAAGAGCCATTACAGCATCAACCTTAGCTTGTGTGCTTGCATGTCTAAGGATATCCACAAGCAGAGGAATGGCACCAGATCCGCCTATAATTGGCTTGTTGTTGACAGAAGCAGATAGAGTGAGCAAAGCTGCTGTTGCATACTCTTGTAGGTTTAAGTTCTCATTTTGAAGGAAGCTTATGACTGGTTCCAAGGCACCTGCTTCCACAATGGTGATCTTATTCCTGCAAAATAATAAGATTTTTCTTCATTCAAACACCAAATAGTGACAAGAACAAGATCATAGATTTGAGAGTTTTAGCACTGTAAATTACTTACAATAAACAAAAATTAAAGAAATTGGACAAAGTTATTATAGATAAGTTTCTAAAATGATCTTCCCATGATTGAATAGTAACGAAAATAAATAAATAAATAAATTGTAGTGATGAATTTCCCAAAGAACTGCCTTTAATCTAATGATTCTTGTGTTGCAGAATAACTGTTTTAATTCTCTAGGCAGTAAAAAATCAGGACCAATGTCTTAATTAATCAAGGATTATTAAGTAGACTCATTGTTATAAAAAAACCCAAACTAATTAAAAAATAGAATGTCTTAATTAATCTAGAATTCTTTAATTGATCCATTGGGTTGCCTAATTTTAAAGGAACAAAATATACTTTCATAGATTTTTAAAGAAAAAAAATCACAAAAGGTAAACAAGATAGATTAAAAAAATTCCTTTTTTGGAGAAAAGTACATGTATATTTCTTCATCACCAAACAAATTCATGATGACAAAATAATAACTTGAAAGTGAAGATAATGGAAAGGAAAAAAAAAAGTGAAAAAGAAAGAAAAAAGAAAAAAAGGAGAAAATATAGAACAACAACCACACTTTGTAATCGAATTAATCAAAAAATATAGAGCTTAACTATAAAAAATAAAAACATCCAATTCTTTTTAAAGATTAAAAGAATAATCCCAAAATTCACCTTCCCTTTAAACCATAATATTAAAAAAAGTTTTTTAAAAAATATAACATAACGTGATTCAACAATTATTTATTTCGCCAGTGACGCGAGGACAAATAATTTTTTTAAAAGAAATACTTTGAATTATTTAATTGTACGGTCCAAAATATTTGGAAATTTTAGATAATTATAATTTGATGCTCTGCTCTGCTCTGCATATTCTCTTAACAGGTAATCAGAGATTAGATATATATATATATATATATATATAAGAAAAAAAGAACAAAATAAAATTAATTTTAAGAAAAAATAGAAAGAGGTAAAGACTATAATCTTTTTTCTCAATTTCCTGAACCAAAGGTGTAAAAATATATATTTATAAATTTTTTTTTCTCGAGAAGAAAGAAAAAGCAACAGAAACATATAAAGTAAAGAATAATCAACATGTAAATTAATCCACAATTATTAAACTAATTCCAAAAAGCCCGAATCACTAAAATTATTTTTTATTTTTTAAAATAAACATGTTAGGAATTTTTATTCATGTATAAATGTTATTAATTGGGAGTATGATATAAAGAATAAAAGGGTATACGTACTTTTCGTCTTTAACGGCGAGGTTAAGGAGGGCGAGAAGGGCGGACTCGTGATGGGACTCAGGTGAGTCAACTCGGAGCATAGAAACGAGTGGGATAACAGCGTCGGCGAGAAGCTGCCGACACCTCTGGGAAGTTTTGGTCAGTCGCCGAATTTCCTTAGCGGCTTGCACCTTCGAACTCGAGTCGTCGGATTGGATTAACTGTAGAGCTCGATGGACGGCAGAGGTTGCTCCGCGCGGCGTCACGTCCGCGTCCGAAGAAGAAGAAGAAGAAGATGACGATGAAGGGCTGTGATTGTCTGCAGCCGTGTCCATTGGAAAAAGAAAGAGTAGGCTGCGGAAGCGACAACGAAAAATCTGAGTGGAAGTAAAGAGAGAGAGAGAGAGAGAGAGAGAGAGAGAGAGAGAGAGAGAGAAATTTAAAGGAAGGTTTTGAAGAGGTGGCGTCAAGCAACAGTTTAAAAGACATGTAATCCGTGGAACTGGCAGTTGGGGTTGGTTGATGTTGTTGTTGTTTCGAAAAATACTTGAACACGGATTTTTATTTAACTTTTGTTTTTGGATATGATTTGACTAAAATGACCATATATTTCCAGGAATAAATTTTATAATTATTTATCTCATTGTAACTTGAAATTAGTAAATTTCTTCACGATTTCCTTTAATTATAAAAAAAAATAAAAGAGAAAGTAACATAATTAATAAGTGAATATGTAAACAATATAAGGATTTACAAAGAAAAAGATATGTCCTTTGAATTTTTTGTTTTTTGAAAGACAACTAATTTTTTATAAAAAAATTAATTTAAAAGACGAAAAATTTTTAATTATTGGAGAAAAAAGAGAAAGTAAGTTAAACCAAAATCTAAAAGTTAAAGATTGTGAGTTATTAAATTTTGATAAATCTATGAAAAAAAAAAAACTCTTTTAACTTTTTTTATCCAATTCAATGTTAAAAAATTAAAAATAATAGATATTCTTCTAAACAAAATTATAATTTAGTTCTCAATAAAATAATGATTTAATGGTAAAAAAGAAAATTTTAAATTTTAAATTCAAATTTCATCATGTATGAATTTAATTTAATTTTATATTATATTTGTTTTGTTTGATCATTCAATAATTTGTTTTATTATGATGGTAATTTTTCAAAAAAAAAAAGAAAATTATTACACTTTTATCATTTTTTCCTCTTGTCCATCAATAATGTAAAAAATTGATTAGTTAAGCTTTGCCATTCAATTTAACCATAAAATGTATGTGTTTGATAGATTCAAAGAGTTAAAATCAATTCTCTCCCCTCTAAACAATCGCGTTTTATAAAAAGAAAATGTAAATCGTGATTATACAACAAGAAAATGTAGCTTTCAATTATTTAATTCTTTTCTACAAGCAAATAATTAGCAAGTAACAAATTTCATCGTCAATATTTCATGTTCCACGTTTTTCATTTTCGGCAATTTTTTTTAAAAATTAGTTTGAATGGAGTTTTCTTTGAAATAATAAAGACAATTCTCTTGCCTATACTTTATTAAAGGAAGTAAAAAAAAAGTGATTGTAAGAAGATATAACTTGTAGTTCAACCAATTATAGGTAGTAACGTTTTTTGTTAATTGACCTCGCTAGTCTTTTTTTTTTCCCTCATCTTTTACGTGTGTCCTTATAACAATGGAAGTGAATTACCCATGCTTGACTTAAAAAAAAAAATTAAAAGCATATAGAAGATTGCTCATGCTTAATTAACATTTAATATATAAAAAATGTACCAATAATTTTATGGTTTTTCTATAATATTTTATTTTAATTTTTAAATTTGTGGATCTTTTTTAAAATATTTTTAAATCTATATAATTTGTGATCCGCACCCAAAAAATAATTAATTATGTCACCTGAGCACCACATGCCATAAATCTCAATCTAAAAAAATCAAACGTCCTCACATTATTTTAGCACGTGCCATTCATATGGATGTTTATTTAAATGAAATATTTAAATCAGTTTGTTAAACTTATTTAAATTTGGCATGAATGATAATTTAATGAACTCGATTAGTTTAATAGTTTTGATTGCTATTTAACTTTTAGTCTAACTTAATAGTTTTATATTTCATATATAAAGTTTTGCCCATAAATTAAAAACAAAATAAAGAGAAGAAACCGACAAACCTCAGGCAGAGGCTCTTTGAAAATAAAGCGAAGGTGGTTCTTTTTTCCTTTGTCTTGCTGTTGGTTGATTTTCTTTTTCTTTGGAGTTACAATATTTTTCTTGTGAGAAATTAAATATTCATTTTACGATAAATCTTTGACTTCTAAAACTTAAAAATTACCCCATAGGTGGCCTTATTTTTTTATATTTAGATTTTTTTTCCACAAAATAGAAGATAAAAATGATAGGATTCGAATTCCTATCTTATATGTTTTGTAAAATTTTTTTAATTACTAAATCCAGAAGCTAAATACTATATATACAAATATGAGGAAACATTTACTTATATTAGTGTAATTTTTATTTTTTTTAATTTTTTGATCAAAATTATATCCATTACTCATTTGAATTAAAATAATATTTTTAAATTTAATAATTTTGATCAAAATTTTAAATAAAATATAAAATTTATATTAATATAAATGAATTTCTCCTCTCATATATATATATATATATGTATATATATATTTCACTTTACTATCGCTGTTCCATTTAAAAAAGAATAGAGGCTCGAGATTTGACTTATATTTCTTTTTAGATTTAATCAAATTAATGTATTGAACAGATAATGTCTCTTTTTTGTTTTTCATTTTCAAAATTTAATGTATTTGCGCCATTAAATTTTTGCTTTTCACAGATTTTTGGGTAATTATGAAGTCATTAATAAGGGTTTATTTATATGAAAATTTTTGAAATTTCGAAAAATTTCTAAAATGCTAAAATTTTGAAATGTATCAATTTAAAATAATAAAATTTGTTTTTGCATTGTTTGGATAATTATTTTTAGAAGAAAAAAATTTAAATCTTAGAATTTGATGAGATTAAAAAAATTATAACAAATATATAATGATATTAGAGATAGATAAAAGTAAAATACTATATATATATGTAATATGGGTGTCATTAGAATTATAAAAATGTATAAATATTACTAATAATATAAAAATTTTAAAAATAAATTTTATAATGAGTTTTTGCAATTAAAATTGAAAAAACAAAAGTTACGTAAAAAAAATAAATGTTTACTTCTCATTATAAAAACAAAAAATTTCACATATTTTATCTCTTTAGGTGAATTTAGAAAAAATAATTTGAGTTTTCCAAAATTTTCATTCAAATTTCAAAAATTTTGACAAATCTAATTTCCATTTTTTGTTTTGCCAAACAAAGAATTTTTATTTTAAAATTTAAAAAGTCTTTCTACAAATAAAATATTTTCTTAAAATCTTTCATCCAAATGCATCCTAAGTACTCTTGCTCTTAAGCATGCCTTGTAAGAAAAGTTAAAGTCTAAATGTGATCTCTATCCTATCCCAATTTTATTGTTTTAGTCCTTTTTCTTTTATTAAAAGGAAATTTAGAAATGATTGATAACACTATTAAGATTTTATCTTTAATTTGAATAACATAAAATTTTAGTGATTATTTGGCTTGTTGAGGTGGATTGATTTTTTGGTTACGTAATAATATCAATTAAAGATCCCATATTTTATTTTAATTAAATAATAATTATGATTTTCTAAATTCTAAAAAAAATAGTTTTTTAGTATTTTTAGTAAAAATAAAATGTTTTCTGTAATAACGCTTGTCACATGGTAAAAAATTCAAATTAATATATTATATCATCATCCAAAAATTTTCTATAATCAAATTTGACAACAGAAGTTTAACACCTTATCAATTATCCTTGAATGGTTTTTTTTTTCATAGAAGTATAGAAATTAAATTTATTAAAATTAGTATACATGGACCAAAGGCGCGTATAGAAAAGGGGTTAAATTCAGACTTTGGCCTATAAGAATTTATATGGACTCATATGCACGCTCTTGTGGATTTAAATTGGAACAAGTGGCAAGGTTTTCAGATTAAATATAATACTAAAATTAATGAAAATTTTGCTCATGTCGTCAGTAACAAAAGAAATTAAAATTTTCAAACATGAAATTGAATTGTAATCGATTGAATGCAGTATATTGCCCTGCCATGTCTGGGATGCCGAGAATGCCGACAAAATATGCATTAGATGAAACATAAATAAGCAAAATTTTCACTTTTTTTTTTTTATCAAGATGTTTTCCTTTTCGGTGGAAATTGGAATTGGATATATCATTATAATTTTGAATATCACATCTTCAACTCCCTGCATGCAGCTGAATACCACTCAATTTGGTGTAAAGGAAAAGAGAGAGGAAAATGAGTTTAATTACAAAATAATTAAACTCACGCTAATTATCACCAAATTAGCCACGAAACTTTGGAAAAGTTATCCATTTTGATGTAACAAATTATAATTGAAGAATGTTTGATTATGTTTATAGGAAAGATAAAAGGAAAGAAGGATTAATAATGTTTGAATTAGACTTTAATTTATGCACCAAAACAAATTAGATTTTTATCATATTGATATGCTAAAATTTTTCAGTTTTGGAGGTTTAAATTTAATTACGTGCTCTGATTTTTTGATTGGTTGGAATGAAAATATTCGGAGGAAAAGAAAAGAAAAGAAAATGTGAATGTTGGGTGTGGAAGTGGGAATATTTATGGATTTACAATATTTAATGAGCTCTAAATGGGCCATAATTAGATAATAGATGACAGCTTTTGGGCTGAATATGGATCATGGAATTTACGACTGCCATTTTTTACCCATGTACACAAAATGGGCTGATAGATCTGTTGACAGTCACAGCAATAATTCGCCCCTCAAGAACAGATCGAGTTATTATCATATACATCAGTGAAAAATTTTCAACTTAAAATTTACTTTTTTTTTTTTGGTATTACATTGATTAGGACATTTAAAATATTATAATTTTTATTTTTTTAGATCTTTAATAACTGTTAATAATGGATTGCTTTTTAATTAATCTGATGCTTTTGTTATTATCACAGTAATATTTTGATACTACCTATAGAATTGTAATCAAGCGAGGCATAGCAATTTTTATATGCAGATAGCTGACAGACACACGATACATTGAGAAATGCTTGTGTTGGAGTGATTATATTATTTTTCACTATGCATATTGCATATAGCATTTTATAAATATTATTATTATTATTATTATTATTATTATTATTATTATTATTACTACGTTGGAAAGAAGCGAAGAAGAAAGAAATTTCAATCATGGGCATTGGTCAAATGGGAAAAAAAAGGAATTTTGAATGCTTTTTTGGGCCGTTTAATTGGGAGACACATCACTATTTCCTTATTTTAAATACTTGCATGGAATTTCAACTCACATACAATAATAGAAGGGAATAATAATATGATTAATTTTTAAATTATAGTAAAATATTTATATTTAACTTTTTTTTAATATATTATATGAATTATGAATTTTTTAATCAATATGATACTTAAAAAATTATTTGTAGGTTAAATTTATCATTTGAAATTAATTATGTTAAAGATGAATATTATATTAATTAATAAATTTGTAATTTAGATATCATATTAAAAATTTTTAAAAATTAGATATTATATTTAATATTTTATTATAATTTAGGGCCATTTCATGATATTAACACTAATAGAAATTAATCAAGTGTTCAATTCGATTATTAAAAAGATGCAAATCAAAAAGAAAAAAAAAATCCTTTTTCATTCACAAAATCTTGAAGAAACTAATCTTGTACATAACAAATGTATATACGTAGATTCAACTAAAACTAAAGCAGGAACTATATTATAAACTATAATTATGGCCAATGATTAATTAGTGAATCCTTTCTCTTTCCGATTGGCTAGCAATAAATTTCATAAAATTGTAATAATGTAATTGGCTAAAAGAATCTTTAAAGTTTCAAGTATATAGCCTTAATGGAGGTCGAAAAATCGTAAAATTAAAAAAAATATTTTCATACCTTGATTTATTGAATGTTGAATTTTGATTGAATTGAATTTGGATTTTTATAATAAGTATACTGATTAGAGTAGTTAAATTTGCTATCTATCCCATAAATCTTTTCTTCATTCAACAACCATGTATAATTGATTCTTCATATAATAATTAAATTACTGTATGAATTAGCAGAAAAAAGGGCCAATCTTAAAAGAACAAATTAAAGGATCAAGTTTAACTTCGTAAGTTAAGGACCACTCATGCATGGTTTATACTTATCAGAAGCAAGTGCCAACAGCAATAAATCCTCTAGTTTGCTCGTTGAAACTCCTCTCTAATTGCATCTGAAAGGCAAACATTCTTTTTGCTCACTTAATTTGCAATCAAAATTAAGTTGTCAGTATATATATATAAAAAAAAAAAAGGTGGCCTTGTGATTAAAGGAAACCTTGGGCATGATATTTTCAGGTTTAAGTCTTTTTGCTTGCTTTAGCATCACACAAATAAATGCATTATCAATTAATATTTTGCGACTTGCTTATTGTTATAAATTATCGAAAATCAATATTTAATGAGTATGAAAATCTTAAGTGTTTTAAGGTTATTATATTAAGTAATTTATTTTTTTCAATATGTAATAGAATTTGTAATCTTAACAGTCATTTACCTCATTTAATACCAAGATATTATTATAAATAGTATTTTTAGTAATCTTAGCAGATAAAAAAAAAAAAAGTAACCTTAAATAGTGTTTCTAGTGCAGTCATTAGCAAAAAAATTCATATATTTATGAAGTCAGATGGTTGTTGAGGAATTGAATGATTAAAATCAAACTTTGTCTCATTTTTTACATAATTAATTCATGAGACCAAATTCCCACATCACACCTTATGGTATTGTTAAACACAGAATAGTTCCCCATACTAGCCTGTTTTCCATGTTCCAAAGCTTGGCAAAACAAATTAAAAAAACAAGCTTTTATTATTGTAAGCTTAATTTGTCTTCAAAGTTGTCAACATGCAAATATCTATCTGATTCCTTAATGTGCCTTCAATTTGGACCATTGAATTCCATTCTTTCAAACTTTGGTTGCAGAACTGTGTGATTTCTGGCATGCATGCGTGTAACTGTGCAAGCAAGCTGGCTGCTAACTTCAACCTTTATATTTCAATTATTTGAGTCATTAATTAAATTGTACTTATATCAAAAGTCCACCCTGCCATTCTCCAATGTCACATGATCTTTAAATTTTCTATTCTATGGTAGTAAAAGTGAATATAAGTTTAGTACTATCTCATTCGCCATTGTCCAGAAATATTAGGGAACCTTCCCCAATCGGAATAATGTCAACCAAGAACCATGCTTCTTTCGTGGAGCTCTAAAATTAGTAGTTTTTTTTTTTTTTTTGTAATACATTCAGAGGTACGTACTCACAAGTTTTGTAATACATTTACGTGTCTTATGCCATTGTATTGAGGGAAAATTTAATTATATCTAGTTTTTTTTTTTTTTCAATTTGAGCTCTTGTAGATTAATATTTATGCTCCACTTTACGTGGAATTAGCATGTGATTAATTCTTGTTAAAAATCACAAAGTCAGAGAGAAAACCGGCATAGAGCTCATTACTGTTAATTAACAAAGTTAAGACTTCTGGAGGAGATCTTTCTTTTGATTTTCATGCATGAGACATGGATGTCATGTCCAACATTAATGTGTTCCTTTTATGGATACAATGGAACAAAGTCAAAGGATAGTGAGGATTTGAAACTTAAACCTTAATCTCCATTGAAGAGTAACAACCGATGAGCCAAACACAACAAACTGAAAGTCTTGATAATTTGCAAACAATTAATTTAGTACAATATTATGTAGATACAGATCCATTAGGACAATTCTTGCATAATCTTATGAAAGTCTCAGCATGAAGGCATTTGGAATGATAAACATGTAAATAACTTCTTAATTTTCTATATCAGTCCAAAAATTTTAATATCATAATCAGAATGGGGCCAAAGGAAAGTTAAAGAATTTGTATAGCAATTAGTTAGGTAATATTTCACCTCCAACATTGCTGTAATGTAATGCCATTAGTTATCATAGAAAAATACCTCAAAAGCTTCTAGGAATTGAAAAATTGGTGTTAAAAAGATTCTGGAGTAATGGTGCATACAGACAATAACTTGAATCCAATATTTGACATGACCTTGGAACTTAACAAAGGAGAGAAAGATGTGATGTAGTTTTGTTTCAGGGCCCATTGTACAGTATAGATGCACGGGCACCTTTTCCAACTCTGACTTTGTTTTTTCCTAATACTAATTTGGCCAAGCATTTGTCACTAGCTTTACTACTTGTGAACGGTAGGCTGATTAATTCCAAGTTGGTGGCAAGTTTTAAAATTTGTAACAAGCTTGTAATGACTCATTGAAAAGGATAGGTTAAAAAAATTAAAAAAGAAAATATATATTATAATTGTCAGATTTATTTAGATCTAATAGTTAATGAATAGTACAAGCCTGACATGTAAAGGGGAAAAAAACAAATTTGACAGATTCTCTGTGAAGTGAAACTAAGATAACGTTGAACATCTTAGTTCAAATTAGATAAAGAAATGAAAATTTCCATTACAATATCTTCGGAAGAAAAAAGAAATATTAATGCTATCTACTCAGATTCTCCTTTTTTGTTACTTTTTTTTTGCCATTCGACATCACTAACATCCAAAACAAAGCTTTTCTTTGCCTGGAAAGTTGTCCTTAAATTATACTGTATTATTCTAAATTTAAGTCTCTTCTCCATAACCATTTACTTTGCCCGAGTTCCTTTCTTTCTGAGATGAGAGTATTGCATCAATGGCTTCTCTTACTTGAGAAATATCAGGAGCTTTCCCACCTTGAACAGGCCAAAATTCATCTGTTGCCAACACCTGCATCATAAATCATAATCCAATTTTAACTGAAATTGCCACTGATCAACTCTATATGATTAATTTATGTTGATAAGATCAGAAGCTGAAATCACACCTTCACTTGCAACTGAAGAAACTTGACATAGCTAACGGCTTTCTCCAGCATGGTAACCAGATCAACCTATGCAGCACAAAGATGAAAGATCATTCCAGCTTTTACCATAAGCAAAGTGCATTTGGAAAAATCACATATAAGTAGTAACAATGTCTCACCTTAGAGCCATTGGGTACCAGTTCTTGTAGTATCTTCAACCTTTCACTGATCCTCTCACGTCGATTCTGGATAGCAAACATTCTCTCAACGTTAATTTTCATTCTTGATTTTTCTTAATTTGGAATCAAACTTTTTCATAATAAAAAACAAGTATGCTTAAGGTGGAAGCAAACCTTGGCTGCAATACTTTGGGGATCCTTTGATGGTCCTGACTTAGTTTTTGCCTTCTTAGCTTCATTAGTACATTGTTTCTTCAAAGCTTGATTGCTTTCTCCCTATAACCAATTTTATCAGCAGTAAGATCAGTTGCTACTTAAATGATCCGAATATTAATTATGGTTTGATTGGAAAAGAAGAGTAGTACCTTATGAGGACGCTTGAGGCCAGCTGCTTCTGGTGATCCTGACTCCTGGATACTATCTGCAACTAGAGCTGCTTCAGAGTATAACCAATCCCCATAATTTTCTTTTGTAACACTTGTCATGGAATTAAAATTGCTAGCAGTTTCAAAGCAGCTAAAATCTTCCACCAGGCGAGGATCAGTACTGCTCTTTGTATTCATTTGATTCCACTGGTAATTCTGACTCAAATTCCCCTCCCACATTGAGTAATCATCTTTGTAACTAGTAGTTTTCAAGTAAGGGTTCTGCAGAGCCTTCTCATTTTGCTCAAAGCTAAGCAGAGATCCATTGGTCCCATGAATGAAGTTATCATACCCGGGACCCTTGAAGTTTATCAAAGAATGAGCTTCCTCAGGTTGATAGTTCACAGCCCGGAAAAAGAAACCGTCAGAATTCGCACTGCTTGGAGAAGAAAATGAAGAAGAAGTAGACATGCAAAAGTTCTTGACAATCCCACCAGAACTCCTTTTCAAGCTACCTCCTTCTTCAATTGTGTAAGGCTCAGGGGAAGAATCATCCCCAAACAGGTTTCCAGTAGTGAAGGCAGAGGTTTGAACTGAGCAGATAGGGTCCTTGGCAAGTGCCATTGAGAGATCAGTAAATAGAACTAGACTAGAACTATTTGGACTAGTTCAAGCTGATAGCTAGGCATATGCAGAAGACAGCTTCCCTACAAGGCCTATATATGTAGAGATTCAAACTGATACATTAAATATATATTAATAATGATGGGTTTCATTGTATTTTTAAACTAGAAAGAGTAATTAAAATATGGGATTGAAAATACTTTAAAAAAATGTCTCAGTACTGTCGTTTGGAACAAGAAACCTGCATTAACTATTGCTGCTATTGCATAGATGTAATGAACTAGCAAATTATATATATAATAATGTGATTGTATCGGGATTGTTAGCTGGCAGAGGTGAATATATATTGGAAGCTGATAGAAGATTAAAGGAAAACAAATTAAGAAAAAGAATGCGAAAGCTGCATAAGCCTCGGCGGATATTTCGCCATCGCCACGTCTATCAGATTCCTATAGTTTTGTATACAGTTTTTTTTTAACACTTTCTTAGGTGCTTCCTACACTCCTTCCTCTTCACTTCTGCACGTGGATTTCTACTGTTTTGTTTACAATTTCATGGTTCATGCTGGCTTGTTAAGTTAATCATGGAATGAAGGAAGTCATACATATCTGTTATCCAACTAGCTATCTAGCACTTGGCCCTTTGATTTGCATTGTGGTTCAATTCAATTATCTGGCAAATTTAAAGTATATGGCCATGCATATCTATAGCTGAAGATTTTGTTATTGTACATGTGGAGTTTTCGTAACTGAATCAGCTTGATTACTTGGTTAATTACAAAGGACTGAAAAAGAATATTAACTAGATTCTTAAGACCATACATCAATGAGATTTCTCTGAATAATTATCCGATCTACATAATTATAAAGCTTTAACCATCTAATTGAAAATATATACACCTGAAAAAATAATAAATACAAGATTAGTATAAATCACCTTCATTTGCATAAACCACCTATATATAAAACTATTCAGAACTCTCTAATTAATTTCGATGCTCAATTTCATTATCAAAGTGATAATAGGTCGACCTATAATCATTTCTTTAAAGTCTTGCGTTTATTCATGGGAGAGTAAATTTCAATATTAAATTTCTTAGGGAAAAATTAAATTTCATATCCAATACAAGGCTAAAGTTTTGTACAATTATAATTAAGTTCTTTGCTTCTTTTTTTTTTTTCCCTATGAGGTGGAATACGCGTTTATGGATTAATAGGCAACCACTCCTGCCAATACTTCCAGACTCCCACTGAATTAACTTTAAAGGGCCAAACATAGGAAAAATACAAACAACTAAAATTAACTACTCAAGTCATAACACTTTAATGTGAATGTGTTCTATCTCCATTGACTTCAAATTAATGAAAACGAGTTCTAGAGAATGAGGTTTCAAGTTTAAATCTTGAAATGAAAGAGATGAGATTTATAAATTAAAAAATTACTTATTATTTTTCATTATGTAAATCAAAATCCAATATGAGTCATCGATCATATCTTTAATTGAAGTAAAAAAAAGGTTACAAACATTACAAGCATTCATGCGTTTTGACGGCTATGTTGTCTGTCTAGTTTGTTCCATCCTACTGCACCATACTGTTTTCTAATTAACGTGTGGTTACTGACAGCATATGATCATTAAATAATAAAATACTTGTAACAAAAAATATTTAAAATTTAACAGTGATCATTTGCAATTAGTAAATTCAACAGTAGCAAAAGAACCGTAGGCTAAATTAAATATTCAATTTTTTCTGATATTTATGAAATGTTGAAGGAAAAGCATAGATTCAAATGTTGAACCTCAACCTTTTTAAAGTGGAATAATAATTATTAGTTCAATTTTGAATTATTAAATCTTCATTTCTATGAGTGAGAATTTGTAATACTCTCAAAGGGCTATTAGAATCTCAATGATAAGAGAGTATATATTTTGTTGATGTAAGGATCGTTAGATTGTACTTGCTATGAAGTATTAATCACTTTGGGAGCCTAAGGCAATCTCCCCATAGTTTTTTCTTTTGAAAAACTTTTAGCTTAAATGTGAGATCATTTTTCCTTCAACATTAATCTTTTCGGTCAAGAGTTTGGATTGTTCTTTCTTTGATATATTGATATAATTCCTCACAAATAATGTCATCTACTACTAACATTATTTGATTGCATCCAACTATAAGATATTGTTCATTTTAAAACTTAATGTGATTGTTTTTATAATTTTATATTTTAAAAAATTTATCATAGAAGAAATATAATCTTTGCTTATAAATTATAATCCAAAATTTTTTTTTTCGATTAGATGTGAGATTTTTTTCCGCCGATATGTTTATATTTTGGCTTGATTTCCTATTCTTAAATTATTTTTTTTATTTGGATATCTATAAAATAAAATATCTTTGATTACAAAAGAACAAAAACATATTCTGCATTTATTGCAGTTAATGAGATGTAAGAAAGTTAATTGTATCCGATTATTAGTTAAATCATTAGCCGATGAAGGATCATCCTCCACATGTTGCTGTTCCTGTTCGATGGTCTAGGGAAATGGAGGAAAGCAAAGCTGGCCTAGAGAGGAGCAATTCCATGTTTTAAGGAGCAATGTAGCTGTCCTTATTCCATGAATTTTGAAACTCTTACTCAGAAAACGATCATGGTGCCAGATTACCACATGTTAAATTTTAAAACATACTTAAATGAGGATTTCTCCTAACTTTGGATCCATGACAAGAATTAAGCATCACGACTGCATATAAAAAGTAAAAATAAAATTAAGCATTTGAGTATTTGAATTTGATTCACTAATTGATGAACCGTTTTCTTTTAAAAAAACATTTGAGTTTTAATCTTTCTTTTAATTAAAAAAAAAAAAAAACTTCAAAAATATTTGATATCGATTTTGTTAATTAATGTGGTGAAAACTTTAATCAATTAAAAGTTATGAATAATTTTATCTTTAACACTTTGGATAATTCGATATTCATTTTTTTATTAAATTTCAGATAAAAGGCTGATGCATTGGTGATGAAACGTGCTTCTTCATGGAAGCTATCCTGGCCAGGGCGACCATGGTGCGTTTGGAATTTAATATTTTTGGTAAGTTATTATCTAACGAATATGTTAAGAACAAATGCTAAAATTACTATTTATAATAATATTTTCAACAGATACATGAAAATTTTTATCATATTAATTATTATGATCAAAAGAAAGAAAAAGCAAAAGAAAAAGGAAATGAGAAACCTAAAAATAACATTAAAAAAATAACCACAAAAAACAAAAATGAATTCATGGCAATGAAACACACTTTCAGGTAGTATTTTTCTACTGCATACAAGATTATCACTTGGTTCTCCGTCCAACAAACGTTCATCAAAGTGGGATAACTAAACAAAAAATAGTTGTTTTAGCAACCATTAGAAAGACAAGCTTGAGGAAACAAAAATTCCACATTTGAGCCAAATCATAGATTAACCAGCACCTACTTAATGAAACAAAAAACTTTAACCACGGTTTTTTTTTTAGCGGCAATAAGCTATTTGTTTCTTCAATTCCAGCCACCATTGTCTCTGATGGTAAGCAAAGATACCGCACAAGAGCTGGTTAACAAAAGCTTCTTAGCTGCTTTAGTGAAAAACAGGTGTTTCAGAACACACCCTTAGCCCTTAGGACTGGAATTTAAGCAATAACCAAAAGATTAATTAAACAGAGAAAAACAGTTAACCATATGCTTTATTATAATGGGACATACTTTATATTAAACCAGAAGGATTCTGTGTCTAAGGACAATGGCTGAGGTATGAGCCAAACTAACAAAATAATTGCTATAAAATACAACGGGCCATTGGCAAGGTTCATAGAGCCACTGAACATGGAGCAGTTTGATTTAATGGAACGCCAGCAACAGCCAACCTACAAATTTCAGTACATGAATGTTAATTAAGTAGAACTTCTACTGGACCTCCAAAATCCAACACCAAAGCTCATCAACTGACATTCAGGGAAGTGATTTAGAAAGACAACATGAGAACAGGTCAGAACATTTAGAATGACAAACCAAAACTTACTGAGTAGCAGTGTCCGGTTTAGCCCTTTTCTTCTTCTTACGTCGCTTTCTTGTTGAGTTTTCACCAACACCTGAAGACTGTCCAACGACTGGAGGCACAAAAGAAATTGGAAGATCAACACATTCAGGACCTTGTTCTGATTTTGTAATCTGGAATTTGTGGTGAGGACGTTCTGCTCCTGAGCTTCGCTGTAGAATTGCACTAGTTGGCACACTGTTAGGGGCTGCAGCAGTTTCAACCTCTTTATTGTTGTGGATCAATGTTTCGGCTCCAGCAGCTGTAGTGCCAAGATGGAAGATGCTCGAATCCTTGACTTTATTCAAAGCAACATACAGTTTAGATTTGGACTCGATGATCTCTGGAAGAAATGTTCCATACCTAGGATCATCTGCATTATTGATCCAACAAAAAGATGAGGACTCATCCAGCTAATGTGTCTAGAAATCATGGCATATATATGTATATAAGAGTATATATTTTTCACAAAAAGAGAGAGAGAGAGAGAGAGAGAGAGAGAGAGAGATACCAAGAAGAGAGACGATAACAGCCCGTGCAGCTAATTGTTCAGCCTCTTTCTTATTCCTACCAGTTTCTCCACTATAAGTCACACCATTGAAAACCAAAGAGGACACAAAAAGGGGAAGAAATCCTTCAAACTGAATGGTATTATAGGTTGGCATTTCCAGATTCATCTTGACTGCAAATTCATTCAAGATAGACTTGCAAAATACTGTATCCTAGAACACCAGCCACCAAAAGTTTAGCAAACTCCAAAGTAAATGTCAAATTTTTAGCTTATATGCAAGCATAATGAAACTATCTAATGATGTTTAGTTTTAGATAACATCACACTTTAAACATGAACAACAAGATAAGATAAATAAATAAATTTGAAATTCGAAAAAAGGGATTCCAAATGTAGTAAAAAGTTTCGAAACCCATTGATACTAATATTCCAATATTATAGAAAACTGGAAAACAAAGGATTCTGAATTTAGCTATTGATCATTTATACAGGAAAAATGGAGATGTAAAATGGAAAACTTTTCTAAAACTAGATGAGGCTTAAGCTTTTTTGCCCTTTTTCTTTGTTCTTCTACTTTCTGCAGAAGCACATCTTTATTTATTTGCACACATAATATTGTTGTCTTACTTCCAAAGTTTATATACTCAACAACAATCCTACTATATTCTCTACTAAACGCAAACAATAACTAAAAGATAAAAAAAATTATATAATTATGGAAAAAAAATCTCATGCCATCAAAGTCAAAAGTCAAAACACCTTTTAAAACTTTGTCCTCTTTTTAACATGGATCAAGATATGAGACAAAGGGAACCAAAGATCGTACCACTTTGACTAGTAAGTTTCAAGAGAAACAAACCATTATGAATGACCCACAAACATTTAAATAAAGAAAAAGAAACATAATTGTACCATAAAAGACCAAAAGTTCCAGCAGAATGCATCAAACCTCAGGAATAAGAGGGCATCCTTCATCTTTTATTTTCTTTGTTATACACTCTAGAGCGTATTTGGCAACATCCTGTTCAGCTGCTTTTCTATGTGAAAAGGTTTCCCCGGAAACATAGCATATTCCATCAACTATCACACTTGACCTGAACCTTGGAGCATGCAACAATCCTTCATTAAAAGTTTGATACACTGGGAGTGGTATGGATGATCTTTGAGTATACTCCTGCAAACGATTCTTATACATCAAGGGTTCCAGAGGCCCTGAGCAAAATCAATGCACGAATTAGCAAGGGATGCCGACTTTAAAATATGGCAAAATACTCAATGAAAACATTGCTTATAAGCAAAATAGGTAAATTAAACTATATAACATGAATTTAACAAAAATATATATATCGTAGAAAAAAATTCTGAAAACACAAAATTATTCAAGTTTTAGAAGTACGTTGACTAAGAAACAGTGCCTTTATCAAGCATAATCGATTTAAACCTTAATTTAATGAGAGAAATGCCAAAATATCACACTGTTCCAACAAAAGGAAGTTAAAATCAGCCAACATTGACCATCTAAATGTTTCATACACAATGACTCACAGCCCATTTGGATGAAAGCTAATGGGAGGAGAGAAGGTACTTTTGGGTTGTTCGTGATGACAGGGAGGGATGGTGTTGGATCAATGTTTGGAAACTTCTGAAAAGCAAAATGGAAAGAGATTTGGAAAGATATTTCACTTCTAAACAGGCCAACCTTCAATCTTTACAAATATGCTTGTGCTACTGTAGCCAACTTTTCCGACAGACTTTCATTCTAATTCTACCCTCATAAGCCCCTCTTTATGTGTAACAGTGAACGATATTATTTAGCACTTTACTTAAACCCTATATCCTCACCCTTTGCCACCCTGAAACCACATAATGTTAGCTACTTTTACACCTTTCATTCCTAGCCTTCTATAATAGCATCCAAATAAAAGGATGGTTATCTACAGATTTACTTCCTTTCCCTATTTTCTTATTCTCCTTAGAAGGCATAGTCACCCACCTCTTGGCTTGCTGGCAACCAGCCACTTTTTTGGAGGAACCAGCTATAGCGCACTCTCCCCTCACCTCCCTTCCCCACTTTTCTGATCTTCCATGCTGATACGAAAAAAAAAAAAACGATTGCTCCCTTAACAACAATAGCAAGTTTACATTTATAATTCTTAATGAAAACAGCACAAAGCACATTTGGAAAGGAAAGACTTTCCAAAACAACAGTCCATGTTAAGAAGCACCGTCGCCCCATCCCCCACCTTCCCCAGCTCCCCTTGTCCCTCCGTGTTAATAGGCAAAGAGAGAGAGAGAGAGATTGCTCCCTTTCACAACGAAAGCAAGTTAAGTTTTATAATTCTTAATGAAAATGGCACAAAGAACATTTGCCAAGGCATCATTGTTATGAAGACCTTTAAAAACAAGAATCTATTTTAAGGAATACCAAAAAAAATGCCATTTCAAATTTCACAAAAAGGCTAAAATAGTTTTAAATTAACATCAAGTTTGAAAGAAGATTTCCTCAAGTTTTACTGTAACATTGAAAACTTATACTATTCCAAGATTTTTATAGTTCTAACTACTTAAACCCACATTTATAAGTAATTAAGTAATTAACTTTTTCATAAAATTAAATAGGAACATCAAATAAAGAGCACCTTTGAACTGTAAAACCCACATTTCAAAATCCTTCCTATTCTATTTTCTGTGTGCTGGAAACCATCAAAGTCTAAAACCTTAGCTAAATTAGCACCATGTCAAACACCATAAACAATCAAACGTCAAAATTAAAATACAACAAATCAAATTCAACCAAACATTCTTCAAACCCATTTAAGAGAAATCAGTTATAAGAGAAAAACCCAAACTTTTTTAAGTATGAAGGAAAATGTTGACTTTCTCCCAAAAAAACATAGAATACAAAATCTTTATAGAAAGACTAGCCCAATACAATTGAAATGCAATACTTACCAGAAGGAATTGACTGAGCCTGAGGCGAAGCTGAAGGCGGGACCTGGACAAAAGCAGGAGCTTGGACTGGAGCCGAAGGTTGATTGAAGAGATCGGGTTGAGGAAGATCTGAGGAGGGATTCTCCAATTTTGGATTTTTTCTTCTTTTTCTTTTGGACAGCATCATAGTTTTCTCCAAACTCCAAAGTGGAGGCTGAAACTTATTGTTAAGCCAAAGACCAGAGACCAATTGTGTTACTGTTGGCTAAGGCCGTAAGGGTTATACACGTCAAAGTATTTATCATGAAGATGTCTTTTTAGTCGACACGATGCCAAAAAAAATATCTTTATTAAAAAGTGTTTTTTTATAGTCACCTTATAAATATTTTAATATATAATATTACCCTTGTTTTAAATATATTTGATATATTTAATATATATAAAAAATATGTTTAATTAAATCATATTATATGAATATATATTTAATATGTGTATAATATCTGAAGTAAGTTTAGTTGTATACAAATAATATCAACTTTTAACGAATTTTTTTATGCTTGTTTTAATTTAATTGTATATAAAAACAATATTGTAATTAAAATGGGTTTTGGACCTTTGAATTTTGAGAAAAAATGTTAATTTATTGGATTGCATGTATAAAATAATTATAAAATTTTTAAACAGATTTCATGTTTTATTTTTTTATTTTATTCTTAAATAATTTTATTGTAAAAAATATATATATTATCAAGCATTCAAATTAATTATATTAATTTATATCTTTAAAACTAGCTTTTTAAACCCGTGCAACGCACGAAATTTTTTATTAAATTTTTTATAATTTAAAATTTTTTAATTATTGAAATAATATATAATAATACATTTATAAATGTTAAGTTATAATTAAATGATAATTTATATATAATATATTATAAATGATACTATTCATCTAAAATAAGTCTAAATTTTTATCAATTTTCAAGAATTATAAAAATCTTTGCTTTTTCATAAAAAATATTTTTTCAATTTATTTGCTACATACTAAAAATTTTGCTACAACTTTTTTCTTGTTTGATAAAAAATTAAAAATTAATATTTAAATAGTTAAGATTAATAATTATTTTTATCATAATGTTGATTGGGTGTATATATATATATATATTTGATTGAACAATAAATCATAATTATTAATTTGATCATAATCATTTGCTTTTTATTAGTTTTTATTTTTGACATACTTCAAGTAATTATTACACAAATATATTAGGCTAACAATTATTTTATTTCTATATATGTCAACAAAATAAAGTTATTTTTTAGATAAAATGAAAACAATGATTTTTTATGTTATACTTAAAAACTTTTTTTAAAATATTTTTTTATTTTTAATCATTTTTAACATAATTGATAGTATTTTTTTTTAGGTTAGATATGGTAGTGATTATCATTCTTCTCATACCATCCATTCTAGACAAATAAATTCAATAATAAAAGGTATAGCAAAAGGAAATAAAGAATATAAATTTACATATTAATTTACCAAAATTAAATATATATAATAATAAGAGTAAATATGTTAATAAATTAATAGAGAATAAAAATATTAAAAAATGAATAAAACAAAAAAATATAATACAAACAATTAATTATAATCAATCTAAGTAAAATTAAAAAAAGTTATAGACCAAAGAAAAACAAATAAATTAATCAAATATATAATATAAAAATATTTGAATTAGAACATTAATAAAACATTATATTTGTTTTCAAAGTAAAAACATATTTTTATCAACATTCAAATGTCTCATATTTTTATATAAAAATGTAAGCTCTTATTACTTTAAAAATACATGCTTTATAGTCAATAATTTATTAACTTATCTAAAATTATTAAATTTAAATAATCTATGTAATAATTTTCAATCTTTTATAGATTTTGATTTTAATTTAAATAATTATTTAAAAATATTAAATTTAAATAATTTATTAATAAAATTATTTGACAAAAAATAAAATTTTATTAAGTATATATATTTTGAATTGTCATTAAATTTAAAAAAAAGATAAATTATGATTTAATATATTTGAATTCAAATTTTATGTAAAAATTTTAATCTCAGATAGATTTTGATTTCAATTTAAAAAATTATCCAGAATATTCAATTTAAATAATTTATTAAAAAACTTTATTTGATAAATAAAATAATATAAATATTATCACATGTGTCATTAAAAGAGATTATTCATTTAGGTATCCGTATAAGTAATTTTTATCATGTAACTTTGTATGTTGTAATATAATATATATATATATATATATATATATTAGATAAGTGAAATTTTTTGAATTTTTAATAAAAAAACTTAAAAAATAAAAAATAAGAAAATAATAGAGTTTAGAATAGATATTACCTTTGAAAAAAATTAATTTAAAATTTTATTAAATACAAAAATCTACTGCTTGTCCTTTTAAAAATAAAAAATATTGATGCTTGTGAAGAAAACTTTACTAATTTAGATATAGAAAGTTATATAGGAATCAAAACTCTTAAGAGTTAGCTATAAAAATTTAACGATTAAAAACTCTTATTAAGAGGATATGATAACCTAGATTTTACTAATGCAGAAACCAAAACTCTAAAGAGGTAGTGTTATCCGGGGATGAAGATTTTTAAGGAAGCACTCAAGCGAGGCTTTTCAGAAAGTTGGTAATGTTAGGGGAGCTGAGTTGATTTGTGAGGTGATGGTGGGGAAAGTTGATTAAGCCAGATGCAGCGATGTATAACTCGATGATCACTTTTTATTGTTATAAGAATTACACGGATGTGGTAAAGAAGATGTTAGATGAGATTGTTTGTACTGGGGCATTTCCAGATTTTCAATCACACATTGTGTTGTTTCATTTCTTAGTTAAGAATAGGAAATTGAAGAAGGCTTCAGTGCCGTTCAATGAAATGGTTAAAAACGAATTTTTTTCCAAGTAAAACAAATTGTGCCTTATGTGGCTATAAAAGTTTGGAAATTCATGATAGAGAATTATAATTTTGATATGGAGGAGACTGGAAACATGCTTCCTGAGGCAGTTAAGTATGCTGAGGGTATGATTGAGAAGGGAATCAAGGTCGCATCTTGCACCTTGTCGGGATTGAAACAGAGCCTTCGAAGAGCAAAAAAGGAAGGGGTATGCGAAGAACTTTTAAGAAAGTGGAAATCTTGTCAGGCAGATTGAAAGTGCTTGAACTCTATGTTAGCTCAAATATAGATAAGCAATTCAAGTGGGGATGAATTGGATTGACTCCATGTATTTACCAAAAATTAAAGTTCAAACATCCGTTTAGGAAACAGTGCCTGAGCATATTTTGTATTTGTTTCCTGTGCCTGCGTGGCCTATATAGCTTGTTTATTATAGAAAAAAATTCAGTATATATTATCTTTTGTTTGTTTATGTGATAAACAAGATAAAATTTACTGTTTGCACAAGGAATGAATAAGTTCATTCATTTAATGCCATCTAGCTAATTTTGATTCTGAACCATTTTCAGGGGCAGGACTCAGGTTGCTGTGTTAGTAAAAGTTTCATTGAGAATGTCCTCTTTTCTTGGCAGTTTGCACAATCATAAGCATTGGATTTATATATGTTTTTCTTTCTTGAAGGCCCTAAACCAAAGTTTTGATTTCTAGAAAATCTTGTCCGTAGGTTTGATTCACTGCTTATTTTTATATGTTTAATGGTGTTCATGTTGTGATTCGAACAACTAAAACTTTACGTAGATAGTCATTAGGCAACAAATCTGGTGGCTTTTCATTACTCAGATAATCATTTCCTAAATACCAGTGATTAGATTCAGTTAAAGAGAATGAAAATCAGATCCAATAAGAAATTATCAAATGACACTGCAAGAAACTTTTCAAGGTACTTTGATTTTGTTTCCATGACAATGTAGTATATCTTGTGGTTTTAGACACCGTTGAAGACAGAGATATTATTATCTTTGTGGTGCTAATATATCTTCTCATGACAGAAATGAGAAGATGAGTTAGAGAAGGTTGAAGAAACCTCTGGTTGGTCGGAGATTTTATGTAAGTGCTAATGGATCAAGTCCTAATCCATATCTTGCCATCAATATCCTTACAATGGTGACAGAAATTATAACATTTTTAACGTATGAAAAGTCCCTGACACGACATGGGCCTGTTTTTTATAACCTATTTGAAATTTGTTCTTTTTCCACAAGCCCAGTGAAAGCCAAACAAAGCCCAAATCTTTGATATATATAGATCATGCTTTTTCTCCCAGTTTCTTAACCTTTACCACTCTTTATATTTAGCTGCAAAATAAAAGTAACTAAAATATATATATATATATTAAAATAAAAAAAATCAAATTTAATCAAGTTACTTATAACATGAATCTAGACTAACGAGGTTATTTTGATCGATTATTACTCACAAGTGGCATGTTATTTTATGAGCAGTTAGACATTTTTTTTATTGAAAATCTTCTGTTGGTCCCAAAACAATTAAATAGCTGACGAAATACACGATGCTTGCTGCTCCCATTGAATGAAAGGAGTGAAACGAAATTCCCCAAATCTTTTTTGGTGTGAAAAGTATGTTACATATGCATATGTGAGGTTGAACGTAGGACTCCAAATGCTATGAAAAGAAAAGCATCATTTCACATGGGTCAGCACTCATTTTTATGCCCTTCTGCCACGCATGCCTAAGAAAAGTCAAGTCTATTTAGGCCTGGGTCCACCCTAACCATGTGATGTGATGCTTCAAATAAATTAACTAAATAATAAACCACTCAAATTCAAGTAAGCCAACCTAGGTTGGAACCCTAAAATTTATTTACATAATAATAATAATAATAATAATAATTAAATAATGACTCTTTGTGATCCACCTTTGGGAAATTATCTGCAAATCACAATCCAAGCCATTATTAACACATGAATGTCCATAGAGTCAGAGCTCTTTTACAAAAGGTATTTTTCCTAATTAAAAAAAATCAGATTATATAGTTAGAGAGTATAAAGAAATGTTTTATGGGGCTTTAGATTTGAGTAGAATTGATGTGAGCCAAAGTTCCCAAAATTTTAATCAAACTTTGTAAAGCAATGTTGTCATCATGGCTTAATTTCTTGGTTTGTTCATTTTAGTTAATCTAATAGTAGCACGCAGTTTGTTAAAACTATTAGCCTAATTTGATAGAATAAATTTTCCTTTACTGACTCTCACCCAAAGTTTTTCATTCTCTCCTTAATTTTCAAGGTTTTCCCATTCCTCCCGTCAAGTTCTGACGTCCAAAATTACAATTAGAAAATTACTAACTTTAGTTTTTTTTTTTTTTTAATAAGAGAACATGTCATTTATAATTTTTTTATTATAATACTATAATTATCTAATCAAAATAAAAAATCATATAAAAATTCATTACTTAAAAAATTTTAAATTATAATTGATTAACAATTTGATTTTTCAAGATATTTGATAAATGTAATATTTATTGTTTAATCTTATCCGTTAATAAATAGATCTAACTATATATTTACTTCCAAATATACAAATTTGAAAAAACTGATTTTTTTTAAATTTAATTAAATTTGATAATTTGTATATTCGTGTTATATAAAATATTAAAATTTTTATATTTATATATAAATTTACATAAAAATTAGATATTATAATTTATATTGACATAAAAATATAATAAATATATTTTTTATTTTACTAAAATTTTAAATTTAATCACTTTCATATTTTATATTCATATCGTATTCGTATCGTATTTTAAATCAATAAATATATATTTAATATAATTTTAAACAAAATTGAAAACATGAAAAATATAATAATTTTTTTGTAATAGAAGAGAGAGAAAAGGACTGGCGAGTGTATACAGAGTTTGGAAAACTGTAATGTCAGCCGGTAACTGATTGCAATCGACAAAGAATAGACACTGGTTTTCAAATGCATTGTTTTCCACAGACAGAATCATACAGAATTGTCTTTTTATATACATAGAAAATATAATGCATAGTTTTCACAAATAATTTTATGTTCCTAACCAAGTTATCGTTACTCCACTAATTAAAAAAGTATTTGGACCCTTGAGTTTTTTTTTTTTATGAAAATTAATTCATCTTTTTTAATTTTTCAAATTAAAATCATTTAAAAAATTTAGTTTAATAATTGATGCATAAATTTTTTAATTTTTGAATAGATTCAAATCTTTTTTTCTTAAAATAAAAAAAATATGTAGGTCTAATTATTTCTCACTATTTTATTTGAAAACAATTACAAGTGATTTTGGCGAGAGGGTATTGACGAATTAAAAGAATAGTTTATACTATCTATCAAAAAGAAAATAAAAAGCATTTCACCGTAATATTGGAAAATCTCTGTTTGATGTGAAATATAATTAATTAAAATAATGAGAATACACATGTCATTTTCTGAATGGTATTCTCTTCACCGATCGGGGGGAAAAAGAATAAAATCCGTCGTACATGTTTCTCCTCTTCCACGTGTAAAGCTAGAACGACATTAAAAAAAAAAAAAAAACAGAAGTTTCTTGTTTCAAAATCAAACCAGATTGGCGTCAATGGAACATCATGTTTTCAACAAAAATTTCGATATCAAAAGTTTAATCCAAAGTACAATCACAATCTTTGGTTCCAATAAACTTAAACCGGTTTACCTTGATTAGGAAAAGCTAATTAAATAATCTATGCAATTAAATTTCAAATGCAATAAGAAAAAAAGGATGACTAAGACAACTTTAACATAACGATAACAATGATGTTTTTTGTTATAAATTTAAAAGAAGATTATTCTTTGTGCCATGATCCTTATGTGCTTTTGTTTTTTTTACTAAAAAACGTCTAATAAATTTTGATTTCAAAATAAGAATCAAAATCTTCTCTATCATCATACTTTTAATGTGAGTAGGATTGTATATAACATCCACTTTTCATGTCTTATACCACGATCCCTTAAGAAACTATTTAATCACTTTTATTTATGAGGTTTTTCTTTTCATTATAAATTATTATTTGAAGCATTTAAATCATTCACATTTTATTCAATCACGAATAATATTTATAAAAATTTCTATTCTCCTTCCCCATCAAAGAAAAAATTAAAAAGAGAAAATTCTTAAAAATCTATTTCCCCAAAGCAAAAAAAAAAAGAAAAAGAAAAGAATATCCTTTAATCTACTTCATCAATTAAACCTTAAAAATACTAGTCAGATAAAAATGTGTGCATAATATAATAATAAAAAAAATTAGGAGGTTCAATCATCTTTCTAAGCTAATATTGGTAGGCCCTAATTGGGTACCAAATCCTACGCAGTCTAGCACACGTGTGAAGACTAAATTCATTATTATTATTATTATGCATATTATTATTAATTATTATTTGAACCAATGAAAATCAAAATTTTAAAAGTGACCAACCTTACCGAAACCCAATGCTTTGGACCCAATTGGCATCCTCTCAGCACAATCCTAAAAGTACGGTAACCAAATTGGGTCCCTCTTCTTTACGACATTAAATTTAAATTGTGGTTGCAACAATATAGGTGAAATGTTTTATTTTTAAGCCTAGCCAAAGGTTACTGTCTGCTCAACTATAAATTAAAAAATAATTATTAATACAAGTTAAAGGGGGCTTTTTCTGAAAAGGATCGAGCCTTAATTACAACAGTTATATACTTTTTAATGTAAAATTATTAAAATAGGCTTGTGACTTTAGAATAATATTATAATAACTTTTTTTTGTGTTAACAGTAATATATAAGATTTTTTCCATTAAAAATCAATTAAAATAAAAAGTTCAATGTTAAAAGTCAACATAATTATTGAAAAACACGACTAAATTTCAACATTAATTGAATTATATCAAGGGGAAAATTTTGATATTTATCCTTTTTCTCTTCTTTCATTTTATTTAAATTTCATTCCTCAAATTTTAAAATTGAACTCAAAATCTTTAAATTTAAATTTTAAGTTCCAGCCATCGAGTTCTCTATTTGGGACTATCAATAAGAATATTTTAACTCATAAGTGTTTATCTAGGAATTACTCTTTTTTTGGCCAAATTAACCAAAATCATTGATCTCACCTCTTACCACTAATTAAGTTATGCTGTTTATTTCTCTCAAAAAAAAAAATTATGCTCTTTAGTTTCACTTTTATCCAAAAAAAAATAGTAATTTTCTTATGCTTTAATGAATATTATTTTTAATATCTATTTAGATAGATGATAAAATTGATTGTGGTAAGATTAAAAATATAAATAAAAATTACTATAATTATCATTAAAAAAATTATTGTAATTGTGATTGAAAAAAATTATGTTTAATTGATCTCATTAAAATTAATATTTAAATTCAATTGATGGTGTAATAAATTCAATTGCATTGAACCAAAAGTATAGTAAAATCCAAATGAATACTTAATCTCTTCACATGAAAATTATTTAGCATCCTAGTGCATGAACTAAGGTGTTGTGCAACAGCAAGAAAATTGAAAGAAAACAAGAATAAAAAAACCCAACAATGCTAAAGTTTTTTGTTCTGATTTCTTTGGTTTCATTCTATTTCATCAATTCTGTTAACTTGTTGTCAACAACTTGATTCTTTTTTTTAGTAAAAGTTTTCTATTATTTGAGTACACTAATTATAACTATGATATGTTTTCGACATCGATTCTCGGTACTTGCTCTAAGACATTTATATTTTTTTCCACCGTTACTTTTTTTTTTTTTTTTAACTAATTAAGATCTTAAGAATAGTTGGTAATAAACATATGTATGGCGACTTGAGGAACATAAAACCTAATAGAGAATGTTAATGAATGCCATTAAGGTGATATGTAGGAAAAAAATTTGTATTTAATGTGTTTTTATTTTTTTGAATTTGATTAAATTAATGCATTAAATAAAATTACTAAAATAGTCATTAAGCTAATTTTTGAAAGCAAAGAAAATGTTAATCAGATAATAAAATATCAAATTTACTTTATCAAGTGAGATAAAGTTTGGTTGACTTGAAAATGAAGTTTATTAATGGTTTAAATTTTAACCCTTACAATTGTTCTTTTATTTTTATATTAGGAAATTTTCTTATACAAAAAAAAAAAAAAAACTTGATTTTACAATAAAAACCTTTTGTATAACGCCTTTTTGTTTCTTGAAAATTTCTACTTAAATTAGGATTAAAATAAATTCAAAAAATGCATACATACAAAAGCAAATATATTAAAACATTATTTACAATTACTAAAGTGTTTAAAAGAAACATCCCATTACAAACTATAACTAATTTTGGTTAAGCTTAGCATTTTTTTCATCATATTAAAAAAAAAAAAAAGTTTGAGCATGATTTTCCAAAATTTAGCTAGAGACAAGCTTAAGAGAAAGCTAAGCTGAGCCTGGCCGTAATAAAAAAAGAACAGTGGTTGTTGGAGAGAGATTAGATGGTCTTGGATGGCCACCAAACTACATGAAATTTAGGTAAACATGATTTGTGTGAGTAATCAATTATTGTTTGTCTCAAAACTCCACTTTAATACAAAAGCCCACAAGCTTCCCCTTTTCACAAAAACAACAATAATTCACTCTTTCACTTCTCTTTCTCTCATTTGTCCACTAATCGTTTCTTAATCCACAATCCAATCTGAAAAAAAAAAAAAAAATCCTCATTATCTCACAAGCTTCTTCTTTTCCTTAGTTGGTCTCCCCCCCTCCCTTCTCTCTTTGTTTTATCTTTATCAGCATCCAAAAACATTACCCTGTGGGTTCATTTTGTCCACTTTGGTATTAGCAACAAGAATCTTAAATTTTTTATATCAAATTTGTAATTTTACAAGGGAATTCAAATAAGATCTTTCTTTTCCCCATTACTTTTCAATATTATTATTATTATGGTTTACTTTTCAATATGTTCACCAGATCCATAATTAATAATTGAATCTTACAAATATAAAAGCGATTATAAATACATGAAATTATGGACAAAAAAATAATAAAAATGATTTCAATAGATCTCAAATTGTGTTCAAAGAAATATGGATTCGTTATTGAATCAAATGTTCAAAAGCAAATATCAATTTTATTTGTAATTTTCTAAAAAAAATGCAAAATTTTAATCCATATCCATATCTCTTACATTCTTGTTTTATTTGTCTCTACGTTTTCCACCTTCTCCCACTAACTTTCCATTAGTTTATTCTTAAAATTCTAATATTTTTTGCGTGGGCAAGTTTTAATTTTTGAGTATAGTTTCTGTCAAGATTACATTGCCCCATACCCTTATACTAGTTGCTGCCTCTGTTTCTTTCTCTCTCTTCTCTTTTTTTCTACAAATTCTCGTCACCCCTCAAGCGAAGCAGTTTTCACTTTTATTTTTATTCTCTGGGACTCAACCTTTCTTTTATTCCCTTTGTTTCCTTTTGGTTCCTGGGTTTTTGTGACTGTGCTTTTGGTTTTTTTACATTGAGATCTGTTTCAGTCACAGCTATGGGTTTTTATGAAGAAACTTGCAACTCTGGAACTACAAAAAATGGCTTGCCTGCTCAATTTGCGGTTTCCTCTACATCACCCACAGATCACTGTAGTGATAACCATGAGTTAAATATCAAATCTCTTTTAACAAAAATGATTTGGGGTTTTGCTTTTGCTTGTTTTCTTCCTGGTAGTCAGAGGAAAGGTTCAAGAAAGAACCAGAAAAACAATGGTGAAAAGAAAGGCAGCAATTTGGAGCATAACAAGGCGTGGTTGTTGGCTGAGTCAGGTGGAGGAGCTGAGTTGACAAGTTCTGAGCCACAATCAGTTCACTCTTCTTTCAGGTTTAGTTTTTGTTCTCAAGTTGAGCTAGAAGCTATGAATTCAAGTTCTTTGAGTTCAGCTACTGTTTTGATGGTGAATTTGGATAATGGGGTAAGTGAGGATAGAGCTAAAGAATTGAAATGGAGAAGGATTGAGTCTTTGGAAAGAAGTATTTCACCAGTGGCTAATTCTTTGGTCAGATTCAGCTATGGTGAAATTGTTTCGGCTACAAGAAATTTTTCCAAAGGTATACATTTTAATGAATTTGGTTTCTTGTTTTGAATTGTCGTTTAATTTTTATTTCTGGTATGTTTTTGTGTGGGATTTTGACTGGTTTTTATTGGAATGGGACAGGGAGAGTTTTGGGGAGAGGGGCATTGAGCTTTGTTTTCAGGGGTAGAGTTGGACTGTTGAAGACAGCTGTGGCTATTAAGAGGTTGGATAAAGAAGATAAGGAGTCTTCTAAGGCCTTTTGCAGAGAACTGATGATTGCTAGTGCTTTGCATCACCCAAATATTGTCCCTCTTTTGGGATTTTGTATTGATCCCGAGGAAGGTTTGTTTTTGGTGTATAAGTTTGTCTCTGGTGGAAGCTTAGAACGCCATCTTCATGGTAAGGTTTTAGTGTTTTCTTATGGGAGTTTTGTTTGGATTTGTAATGAATTTTGAATGATTTATGAGATACACTTTTGCAGATAAGAAATGGGGAGTAAAGGGCCGTCCTTCAATTCTTCCTTGGTCTGTTAGGTATAAGGTTGCCTTAGGAATTGCGGAGGCAGTCGCATATTTACACAATGGAACTGAAAGATGTGTTGTTCATAGAGACATTAAACCCTCTAATGTTCTTCTTTCTTCCAAGAAAACACCCAAGGTAAGGAACTTGGTCTGAATTGTTAAGTGGAATAGATTGGAAATTGGTTTGGTCCTTTTGCAATTGATTTTCTGATTCTGTAATTGTGGTGGTTGCAGTTGTGTGATTTTGGATTAGCAACTTGGACTTCTGCTCCCTCAATTCCATTCCTTTGCAAAACTGTTAAAGGAACATTTGGGTATGCTTTCAAGAACAACTTCTTAGAGAAGCAAATGGAATTCTTTTGTTTTTTGTTTGCTCCATGAAATGCTCAGTAAAGATTAATCTTCCTCTCATTTTTGGTGAACTTAAATTTGGTATGCAGGTATTTGGCTCCTGAGTATTTCCAACATGGAAAAGTATCTGATAAAACTGATGTTTATGCTTTTGGGGTCGTTTTGTTGGAGCTGATAACTGGACGGAAACCAATTGAGGCAAGAAGGTCTCCAGGAGAAGAGAATTTGGTTGTATGGGTAGGTTATTGTACTAATTTCTCATAAAACTTACCATGCTTTGCATTGACTTTGTGAAAATTGAAAGAACGGTCCCACCTAACAGCTTCACTTGAACTAAATTGGGCTCTTCTCTTTACATTGAGATTGACAGTACTGAAAATACTTAAACCAAATGTGGATGATACCACTTGATAATGAAATTTCTCCTGATAGTGCTTAAACAAGTGTTCTTGTGGTGAGACAGCTCTATCATGGAACGTCCTTTTTTTTTTCCTTTCTGGAATTTCTGGAAATTTTGTGGCGTATTATTATCAATCAAGACCTAGTATTCAACATTTTTCCATAACTTCTCGACTCAATGTTTAGTAGAATTCATTGACATTGTCAGATTTTTGTTCTTCAAGGATTTAATCCTTTAGAACCATATCATGAAATGCCAGAAGCCCCTTTGCAGTTAGCTTGCTCTGATATGATTTCCCCATCGGAACTCTTTGCAACACATTACTTGTCACCCTTAGCATAGACCTTACCATGATAATAGTTTGATATTAGCTGTAATGTTGAAATTTTAATCTTGAAGTTTCTTTCCTTTTTCAGGCAAAACCTCTCTTGCTCAGGGGAATGGCAGCTGTTGAAGAATTACATGACCCAAGACTCAAATGCTCTTTGAAAAGGTCAACTCAAATAGCACGAATGATACAAGCCGCAGCAGCCTGCATAAGCAATGAAGAATCACGAAGACCAGGCATTGATGAAATTATTGCTATATTGAGAGGTAAAGAAGAACCATTTTACTCAATTAGGAAGAAGTCCAATTTCTCTGGAATTATTGATTGTTACCCTCAACTACAACATTCAAAAAGTGAGATGAGGAGTCACTTAGCTTTGGCAATGGTAGGAGTGTCAGAGTTTGAGGATGATGATCACCTTTATTGTCGTTGAAACACACTGCATTTTTATATATCTGATTTTCACCTCACCTTTTGCTTTGTCGCTTGCTTGACAAGAAAGTTTTAGGCGTGGCACAAAAAAAAAAAAAAGAGGAAAAAAGATTGAAGTGTAAATAGGAAAAGGAGTCTGATGAAAGCTGGTTGCGTGTACATACCCTGATTCCCTGGCTCTATATTCCTGATGAAAGCTACTGATTTTCATTTTAAGTTATAAAATTTGCAGTTCTTTCTATTAAGATTATTCAATTGTCCTTATTGTTGATGGTATTGTTCTGAAATTCATTTGCTAACTTGTACAAGAACAGGGCAAGCTTTGGCTTCTTATTCCTTAGTGGCAGGAGTACCTAGCTTTTAAGGTATCTTGTCAGATAATGCCTGAATTTCATTAACTGTGTGTAAATTTGTCCAATTATAACATTTCCTTACTCATAGATTGGCATTGCTTATCAACTGTGGTTTGATTGAATATGAAAGGAATCATCTATGCTGTCACAACCCAAGACAGTGGCCAAATTTAGGTCAACTAGCCATTTTTTTATATATAGATTGGCAGGCAGCTTCTGTGAATTGTGATGGGAAACATGAACCTTGAATAACGTTTTTTTATACGCGCGTGCACAACACTCACACACGCACACACGCTTGTGTACAGATGTACACATGCGTGCCTACGTTTGTTAAACAATATCCTGTTGCATTTGAGCTTATGTGGCAACTCAGCAGCTATCAGTTTATTATATGATTTTTTTTATAGTACAGTAAGTAGAATCTCAGATCAGTTAGGTGTATTCAAGACCTATATGATTAATCAACAAATGATGGATTTGGTTGTGTTATCTAGAAAAAAAATAGATCTCTAAGCTTGCTACTCATTCATTAGATAAGCCTACCCAGTGAAAAAATAATAAAAGAAAAATCGTAGCCCATAAAAGGACCTTTCTATTCTTACATTTGACAAGCAAGAAACCAAATAGGGTAAGCAATTAAAAGACATGAGGTTACAGTTAAACTACCAACAAATTCTATCACAAAAAAAAAAAAAAAATCCAATTGAACCTCTCATAGTAGGACAAATTAAAGTTTCACAAATAAATGAAGCATTGGATAGGGAAAATTAAAAGATTTTAGCAACATCTTTCATTAGACCACGGTTGGCAGAGGCGAAATCAGTGAACTCCTCATAGGAAATGAAGCCATCACCATCGGTATCAATCTCAGACATCATCCTTGTAATTTCCTCTGTTGTGACAGAGCCGAGCGTCTTCAATGCATCTCCGAGCTCTGTTGCAGAGATTTTGCCATCACCATTGGCATCAAAGCGCTTGAAAATGCGATCGCGCTCAGCCTTCTCTGCATCATCCATTTCCTTTTACTGCTATATATGATGGTAAGAGTTGTTCTGCTTATGGTCTTGGTTTTGGTTTATGTTTCTTTGAATGGGGAACAAGAATTTTGGTTTATAAAGACATGCTGTGGTCAGATTTGAGGCTGTCCTTTGAAACGGGGAATCTGGCATTGCAAACGGATCACCTGTAAAATGCTTGCAACTTCCAACTGCTTTTACTGAAATTAAGGTGACCAAAACAACACCTGTCTAGATCATAGGTCAGGAGAGAATAATTATTTGAGAAATAACAAAATTTAACCTAAGAGACTTGGTCAACAAAATAAAAGAAAAATTCTCGACAGGCTGATTGACGAATGAATGTGATCATTTGAAGTTAATTTTTGTGCAAATTGGACGTCGAAACAACCTGATCGAGATAGGTTTTAGGTATTTTTACTCTGACATGGAGTTCTAATAATTTGATGTGTAATCTTAGATGTGATATTGTTCGTACTTGGACACAAGTGAAAATTTTGATTCTTCCTCAACCTGTTTAAACCAATGGGATCAATTGAGAATTTCACAAATGAAAAACGGCATTATCTTCTCGAACAAAATAAAATAAATCAAGGCAAATTGCAGCAGATATGATGAACAAGTAATTGTGTGATGACTGCTATTCTAAAATATGTTGCTAACATAATATTATTGTTCTGTAAATTGGAAGAGTTGTGCTATAACAGATTTCTACTTGCTTTGAATAAATAAAATTCAACTTATCAAAAAAATAAAAAATAAAAAATATCATAATCAAATGATGATTATACATGCAAATATTGAGCATACTACAGTGTTTTACCTCCCATTTGAAATGGCAAAAAGCATTGAATATAAAACCCTGAAAACTTTAGCATGCCTTATCACATAATAAATAAAAACTTTTATTTATTATTTTCTTTTTTCGTGTCACTTATCACATATAAAAAAACAAAAAACAAGCAGCCAACCAAAAACCAAGGAACAAGCAATAATAATAAAATACTAGTAGGGAGCAATAATTTAGATACAATTTTCTGGCTCTGGGTTGAACGCATTCCAGAGTTCCACATCACAAAAAGGTTCATCCCAACCACCATTGCTTTTCTCAATCACCTTGATTCTACCTTCACCCATTTCTTCATTGACGGCCTGGTGGTCCGCCAACCCACATAGATTGCTATCGTTGAACGAACATTGCTGCTGATCGTCGAACTCATTGTCGTTTATTAGCAAATTTTCCCACCACATCGTTTCGGGGTCATTATCACTGGGGATACAGTAACTACTGTTATTGCAGCAGCTTGCAGCTAATGACAAAGTAGTACTGTTGCTAATTGGAGTTGCTGCTGCAATGTTGTTGTTGTTGTTGGTATTTTCATCCAAAGTCCATCGGAAACTATTCATTGATAATGTCCGAGGCCGAGGCTTGATAACATTAATATTGGGTTTTGATGGATTTTGATGAGGTTTTGGTTTCATGTTTTTGTTTGAAGGATTGAACTTTTTCAGCAAGTGGGTGTTCCAGTAGTTTTTCACATCGTTTGCTGTTCTCCCAGGGAGCCTACCAGCAATTAGTGACCATCTGCAAAATGTTAATTAAGTGGAATATTACATAAACATATAATTAATATTAATTTCACAACAAAACAACTTTCCTTGCTGTTGCTGTGGGGCACTTTTATCTTTTCTGGATACAAAGCTAACAAGATCTATAATCGCAGCGCGAGAGATAGAATGGGATATTCTCTATCTCTAACTTTAACATCGAATATTCAAATCCAACTACAATAAAATAAAATAAAATAAAAAGTACAAAAGAATTGACCTTGAAATCATTTTCAAGGGATCTTTCGAGTTCGGATTTTTTTTGGTCGGAAACACCTAGCAGTTAAAATTTTAAACTCTAATTTGAAGGTATCGTATATGAAAATGTGAGAGAGGCAAGATTTAACTATTTATTTTTACATAATTAAAAGTAGCTCTGTTCCCCAGCTTATGTCCTTAAATCCCATAATTCAACTCAGAACTTCAAAAATAAAGTTCCAATATCTAACAGCTGAAGAGTCCCTTTCGATAAAACGGGATGGGATTTGTAGAGAATATTGTTACATTCCATTATATAATTTGATAGAGTCCCAAAATTAAGTCTAAGATCATGAAAAGCAGATGTAACTTGTAAGTAGCAACTAATGATCTATGAAACAAAATTTTCCTTTCATTTAGGAAACAACAGAATTTGAATCCATAATATTTGTCATTGGAACAATATTGATGCAAGTTACTTCTCTTTGTGTGTAGTGTATTGCACGAATTAGTAAGTCTTCACCATATGTATAATTTACTGAAAAGTGCATATGGTATATGTTTTAAATCCAAGCAGCATGAAGATTTCTATATTGCACTCGAACTTGATCACTGAATTATTTGTATATGCATGTGTCTCTCTGATATAAGAGTATATCCTCTTTATCAAATTAAAATGAAAAAGGAAAAAAAAAATACTTATTTAGCTATTTGCCACTTGCCTGTTGCCTAGGAGCTGATGGAGGCGAATGCTGAGGTCAACTTCATCAGTTGCAAAATCTCCTCTCTTGATGTTTGGCTTGAGATAATTCAACCACCTGAGTCTACAGCTTTTCCGGCATCGATTCAAGCCTGCAAAAATGCAACCAAAATTGTAAGAAACTCTTCGATCATCGACTTCCACGTAACTAGTAACTTGTACCTGCTCTACAAGGAACTTGATGCCAGTTTCCTTCACCATATTTTTGAATGCATTTCCTGAGAAGAATGTCCTCTTCTTCAGTCCATGGACCTTTTCTAACTCCTAAAGATGAGCCCTCCATAGGGTCTACGTTGTAAATGTCAGTGCTAATATCAACTAAGATTTTGATCTTTTAAGTTTTGTCAAAACCATTTATATATACTCTACAACTTTCTTTTCTGGTAGAGAAATGCCCTTTTGGCAATGGCGACGTGTATAATTTCATGACCACAGAAATTAATTAAGCTCCACAAGAGAAAAAGTTAGTCATGGTTATTATATACTGTACTATAGGATGTTGGGATACTTCATGTGCGGAGTAAAAAATTTTATATAATTACAAAATATGAATGAAATGTCCCCTCTCTCTCTATATATATATATATAAGATTAAAAGATTTAATAGTTAAGTTTTCTAGCTCAAATGATGTCAAACATATATGAATGAGTTCTTTGATATGCTTTTATAGGTTTCAAGTATAGTAAATCTCCTAACAATTGGTATCAAAACTAAAATTACGAGTTTGAATACCAATGATATTGTTGGAGAGAGATTGTTGACAAATTGGAGGATGGTTGTGTCCATTAATTTTATTGCTTGAATGTTGATATCAAATTCAACTTGGATGTAACGAGTGTGTAAAAGTGAAATACCCAAATAGATAATGTATTGAGTCGACTTAGAGTGCAAGATTGAGAGGCATTGAAATAACTTAGGCTGTAAGGTTGAGTGTTATGATTTGACCTAAAATCGTACTATAGATGTGAGGTTGTCTGAACCAAAAGAAGTGTTGATATGATTTATTTGTATAAAGAAACGGAAGTGAAACTTGATAAGAACTCATAAATGAAATGAGGAGATTGTTGGGATGATTTACATGTAAGTAAAAATTTCATATCATTAGAAAATGTAATGAGATGTGTTATATATATATATATATATATAACTCAAGAACCCAATAACTTAAGCTTTTGAATTCAAGTGATGTTTAATATGTATATATGAGTTCTTTAATGTGTTTCGGTGGACTCCAAATGTGACAAATCTTCTAACATTGATACTAGTCCAACCATATGTTTTTCCTTTAGAGATAAATATTCTGTATGAATTTAATGTTAATTATTGCTTATTCTTTTCAATACATACGAAAGAAATAAAATATTAGTAGGAATAAGGATTAATATTTAAATTTAGACCTTAATTAATTAATAATAATAGTTAGGTCAAATTTTAGATTTAGTCAAGTTCGAAATATTTTTAATTTAAAGAAAGTGTTATCATACACATATTTTCATACAAAAGTGTAAACACCCATTTCTTTATTTTTATTTTTATTATTAATTTTTATTTTTTTCTTCTTTTATTTTTGATGCTTTTTCAGTCAGCTGCCAACCATCGCACTGCCAGCAACTCTAGCAATTGCATTGGTTGCCGTTCTGATGGCCGCCCTAATCTTAGGTGGTCAGAGATAACAAAATCTTAAACTTTCTGGGATTTTTTTTATCTTTTAGTTCTATAAGTAGAGCCATAAAAATAGGAGTAAGAGAGAGGAACCTTGTAACAAAAACCCAAAAGTCCTGTAAAAATAAAAAAAAACTAGATAAAAAAAACTCATTGTCAGATTCCAAAAGAACAACTTTTGTCCAAAAAGAAAAAGAAACCAAAACCTAAAAAAAGAGAAAGAATCAAACACTACAAAAAAAAAAAAAAACACAATCCTTAAAACGATATCTCAACGCTAGAAAAAACATAAATAATAAAATAACAATTTTAACCAAAATTTTCAGGCCAGATCTACGCAGTTCGAGGTTATTTCTTACAAAACTAGGCTTAGATTTGTGATTAAGGGGTTGAGAGAAAGATTTTTTGTGACTTTGGATTTTTTCAACAATTGTTGAACGATGGATGGTGACGAAGATCAATTGACGGCACGACATAAGGGCTGTCGGGCTCTGGGTTTTTAGAGAGAGTGAGAGTGTTTGGGAGGAAGAAAAAGAAAAAAGAAGAAGAAAATTAAAAAAATTGATTTGACCTTTAAATAAGCTTTCAAAATGACATCATTTCGAGAGAAGAGGATTCACGTGTTGACCTAGATTTTACTCGAGGTTCATGCACTTGACCTATGACCTGACCTTTTTAGTCGTTGACTGGTCCAATTGAACCACTGACCAGTCTAGACCACAATTGATTGGCCCACCCAAACTGGCATTGATCAAACCATTGACAGGTCTGGTTTAGGAAATTTTTAAAAAATTTTTAATATTATTTTTATTATTTTAAATTTTATTATTAGTATTTATGGATGTTAAAATATTTAAATTTATTAGAATAAATTTTTGTTGTTTTAATAATAATTAATAAAGAACAAAATAAATAAATAATGAAATACATAATTACAATTTTTGATAATTTTTGCAATAAACTTTATAAAGTAGTGATAAAAAAATAATAATAAATAATAATTAATGACTATGACACCTAACCTTTGTTTATTTTTTGAAAATTAAAAATAAAAAATAGTAAGAATAAAAAAATTAGTAAAAATGTAAAAAAAAAATTTATTCAATGATAAAATTCAAAAGTATTACAAGTAGTAATACTTACGAAATCACTAGGTAAGAAGACCTTTTTAAAATACAATCAACATATTTGAGTATTTATAAAGAGTTTTCAGTACAATAAAAAAAATTTTTTTTGCTATAAAGTAGTAAATAAAAATTAACTAATTTGTTAAAAATAAAATGATAAAAAATGAAAAAAAAACTTTTTTATTTGATGATGAGATTCTAAAAGTGTTATAAAAAGTTATGCTTTGCTAAATCCCTAGGTAAGAAGTTTTTTTTTTTAAATATTACCAATGTATTAGAATATTTATAAAAAACCTTTAATATAATAAAAATTTCTTTTTTCTCCAAAATAATAAGAATAAACAAAAATAATAACAAAATTTTAAGAGCAAAATAAAATGTGTGCATCAATATATTAACATTTTGCATTGCATGTACGACATAATTTTCACAAAAAATAAATTCAAGCCTCCGATAATAAGATTTTAAGCATTTCAAAAAATTATGCTTAAGTAATTTCTAGTTGAAATTCTTTTAATGTTACCAATGTATTGAAATTTTTTAAGAATTGTTTCAATAAAAAGGATCTAATTTATTTTTCTTAAATAAAAATATAATAATAAATAATAAAAGATATTAAGAAAGAAAAAAACCAAAATTTCAATAAATAAAGGAAGTCAAAAAATTTTTTTTTAAACATCGAAACTAATTTTATTTTTGTTAAAATCAATGAATAATACATAATTAATTGATACTATTTTAAAAAGGTGTTGTGATAATGTTAATCATTCCTCACGCATAATCAACTTTTAGATCTAGATTGTTTTATAAATTCTAAAATTATCTTTTTAATAAAATTTTAAATAATTAATTTTAAAATTTTATTAAAAAATATATTTTAATAACTAATCAATGTTACTTAACCAAAAAATAATGATGACAGACTTCGGTTTTTATCTTTTTTTTCTTTTCGACTCCAATTTCGTCGGGGACCACAAAATTGTTACAACAAAAAGAACTGTACACATTTTTTTTTTTTCAATTTAATCTTTGCATTGTCAGATTTTTGTATCTGTTTATGAGATTTGTGTAGTTATTTTGTGCATATAATATTTCTCTTAGTTTAATTGGTTCTTACAGCTTGTCTTTCCATAATGTATTTTTCGTAACTTTTGTTTTAAGAATAAGAAATTAATTTCAATTTAATTATCCAAACTCTCCCCTTTTTTTTCTATTTTATTTTTTGAAGATTTAATTAAGATCCAACTTAAAATCCCTTGAGAAAAAGTGATTGCGGCCAAAATATCCAAAACTTTCTTTCCCTGTCCAAAGAATTTTTTTTTATCATCGTTTTTTATTTAATATAATCAGAGGTGTTTTCAGTTTTGCACTCTCCTGCTATTATTTTAAGGGGCATTCTTCGTACGGATCCATTTTAAAATTTACTTTTAAATTGCTTTTCATGAGGATTAAATTAAGGTTGACAAAAAAAAAATCTTCTTCATGTTAATATATTTAAAAATAAGTTAAAAAATTACAAATACAGTAAAACATTGTAATAGTTATTAAAATCCTTTTTTCCTATTTAACTATCGTATCGACATTTTCTTTTAATGAAGTAGCAAAGAGCATTTAATTTTTTTCAGATTACTTAGAACGTTAAATGAGGAAAAAAAAAATTAAAGCCACCGAAAAAATCTGGTAAAGCTCGAGTCGGATTCATCCTCATCCAAATCAACTCTCTCTTGATAGGCTGATACATAACTTCGTAAGAATAAAGCAAATACATGGTACTGTTTTTCTGTGTCTCTAATTATGGCGTCTCTGTTTAAACTTTAATGTCCGCGTCGCTTATAGGTAGAGATGTTAATTGGTAGCACATCAGAGAGGTAAAATATTTTTTATTTTTTATTTAATTTTTATATTATATTTATTTTTATATTTATATGAAATAGGTATTTTAAATTTATATTTATTCTTATCTAATTTTTTTATACATATTTAATTTAAATAGATAATCTCTGTATTTGTAATTAAAAAAATAAAAATCAAAATGTATTTTTGAAAATTAAAAAAAAAATTATCTTGTGTATTTATGTAAATTTTTTATAAATATATTGATATATTTTAAATAAAAATATATTAGTTCTAATTAATCTAAAATAATAATTTATATAATTTAATAAAAATTTATTTACTAAACATATATATAAATATATATAAAGTATGAATATAGGTACGAAATATATGTTATGTTATCATTTCTATCCTTATTCCCGTATTTAGCAAAAAAATATAAAATTATATTAATTTTTATAATATAATATTTATTTTTATCTCTATTTGAATAAAAAATTTAAAATTTTTGTTAAATATAGATAAAATTAATATTCCTATTTATAAATAAAAAGATTTTGAAACTTTTTCTTTCATATATATATAATTATAAGAAGGAAAAAAAAAAGAAATTAAGAAGTCCATAATGGACATTAATAGTGGGGAAAAAAATTAAAGGGAGTAATCACTTTATTGAAAAACAGTGAAGTAGCTAGCTATGGCAAATCAGCAAAGCAACGAGCTGCGGCTCTGAACCAGTACAGAACACAAATCCTCCTATTAAAATCAGTA